GGCCCTGTCTGCCCATTCCGCGCACAGGGACGTCCACTTGTTGGGATCCATGCCCCACTTGTAGAGGAAAAACTATAAGCAAAGCACATACATTTAGCCATAGGTACAGCCAGCGCAGAAATTGAATTGACTATAACAAGAACAGCTTTTACTAACTGAAACACCAGCCTGCACAGGCTACATGTGAAACAAGAGAAGCATCTAGTTGCTGAAACTCAGCTTTTAAAAGCTTAGAGAAAAACCAGCTCCTTTTTTGCCAGCCACCTGCGCACAAGTAGGTCAATCTGACTCATCAAGTCTTGGCTTCTTGGTGTGGGTGCCACTCTTCACATAGCTCCTTTTGTTTCCTTTTGTAAGACACTCATCAATATTTTCCATGATAAAATCACAGACCGTTGTAAGCGAGGCAGGGTCCAAGGGCACCAGGATGTCGGTTTCCTTCCAAGACTTTGGCGTTTTCAATTCCACCGCATGGGAGCCAAGCTGGACAGAGACTTTTGGAGGGGCCTTGAGCAATTTATCCTTGTACTCATTCTTCTTGGGGCCCTTCTCATCTTTCTCAACGCTTTCTGTTTTCTCATCTTCAAAGGGGTCTGGCCCTTCTGCTTCCATGGCAGAAACTGAAATGCCAACAGCTTCCTTGATCTTCTCCTGGATGGCCTTCAGCTGGGGCGAAGCTGCCAGAGAGGGGTTCTTGACCTCCTTGTAGGCAGGCATTTGACCAAGCACCAGCCTAGTGATAATGTGGTTGCTTGCCCTAAGCTTCAAAATTTTTTCTCCATCATCACCGTGAAGGACCAGGCTGTCAGGAAGATAGACTTGGGGCCCATCCCTGTAAGTCAACGCAATGACTTCAGAGACCTGCATGGCTGGTTGCACAAGCAAGTGGCAGAACCCTAGAGAGCCAAAAGAGACAAAGAGTAAAACTGAAACCCTTGAAGGGAACAAAGCTTGCAGAAGCTGGGGACCCATGCCAGCCTGTAAGAGCTGCCAGCCACCCAAGCACATCAAAAAGCTGTTTACACCAGCCTCCATTGGCTTGAAGCTCGGCAAGTTCTTTTGGATCACAGATGCAGCAGTCAAATGTTGAAGCATGTTTGCACATGTAGGCGCTGGACAAGTGGCAGGGCAGCTCATTTGACCTTCCTCTTCTTCGTTCCATCTTCTGATGGCTCACAAAGCAAGGCAACACCCTTGTCAATTTGCTTCTTGTTGGTGTACGCAGGGATGTGCAAAGGGCCAAGTTTCACTGAATGCTTTTGCAAGCAAGCATCTTCAGGTTTTGCTGCTTCCTTGACCATCCAATATGGGATGAACAGCCCACTCCCCTTTTGGAAATCGCACCTCCATGGTTGCACCACATAGACTTGGCCAACTAAGTCATTGGAAGTGATGATGCACTGTGTCTTCGAAACTTGGTCAGCAGAGGCTACTTGCAAGGAGCCCATAGGAAGCAGTAACAGCTTGCCCTTGTTGATCTTGCTGCCAGCAAAGATCTGGTTCTGATTGGAAACCAGCACATCCACGTCTCCAATCCTGATGCTGAAAAAGCACACAGAACATTACACAAAGACATTTTAATAACACGTTCAGAAGCCACCTTTGCCACAACACAGTAATGCAGTTGAGGTGCTCTTGGAATTTCTCATACAAGGCAACTTGTGCTCGAGCTTTGGCCAACTCCTCCTGCATAAATGGAGAAGCACAAGGAAGCATCTTGGACCTCACAGCGTCACCAACCAAGTGAGGTACTTGCTTGGTCCATTCTTTCAAGATTTTCAAATCTTTGTGCAAGACTTCCTTCCTCTCCTCAGGTTCGAAGAAGGGCCTATGTACCAACTTCACCCTTTCATCTGTCACATCTGTCAAGAGCCAAATCTTCGTCTCATTCTTGAAGGTGTAGTGGCCCCCCAGCTTGATGTGCTTCTGGGCCTGCAAAGCAATGGCTTTGGCATCAGTGGCTTCAGCCAAAGCCTTCACAGAACTCTTGTCATCGGAGCTTGCAGCAGCCTGGGAACTTTGCTCTGGATTGGTGGTGACATTCACAATGTCCTTTGCAAATTTCTCTTTGATCTCTGCCATGTCCTTGTACTGCACCATCTCCCTTCCTTTTTTCTGCAAGAGATGCAAAGCAAGGCGCATTTGCAGCTTCCCAAATGGCAGTGCCATTTTTTCCAAAGGTAGCTGGGCATGCGTCGCCATATTCCAGCCTGCATGCATGATAGCTTCTGCTTTCAAAACTTCTGGCACCATTTTCTTGTTCTTCAACTTGTCCCAGTCTGCTTTCACCACCAGCCTCCTGAAGCCATCCTTGATGGCATGCTTTGACGCGGTGATCTGGCAGCATGCCAAAGCCACCCGAATGAAAGGAAAGGTGGTGCTTGGCTCCTTCCAGTCGCAATGGGCTAAGAGGTTGGTGAATTCCTCACCAAAGCGCGTGGTTCCACCAAAGTGTTTGCCTTAGCTTTGCCATGCGCATTACAACACCAAAACTTGCAAAATGTGGCAGGGGCCTTTATTGGCTCTGGCTCTGTATGTAGCTGGTCTCAGCTTGAAAAAATCGAAAAGGCACCAGAAGCCTTTATTGGCTTTGGTTTTGGCAAGCTTGCATTAGCTACACAGACACTTGCACATGGAAGCAGAAGCTTTTACTAGCTTTCGGTTTTCATGCAGCTGAGGCACCAATGTAGTCCAGGTACTTCAGCAATTCAAAGGACTCTCCACCAGCAAAATTAGCCACGAAGTCGCCCACAGACTTGATGTAAGCTTTGCAAGGGGGGACTGAAGCAGCAGCTTGAGCAACTGCTTTCTTGAGGTCCTTTTGCCCTTCTGGCTGCATCCTGTAGAAACTTGCAATACTAAGGGCCACTTCCAACTCATTGGGCGCTTTGGCGATGCTGTGGTCGCCTAGTTGCAAATGGCGAAAAGGAAAAGCAAAAAAAGTCCCTTAGCAACTTTGGGGAAGCATGTCACACAAAACATCCTTAGCAAATTAAGTGACAGTTGTATGCTTGCTGCAGCACTGACAATACTGCAGGAACTTCTTCTTCCACCTTGGCAGATACCACTGTCCAAAGCCAGCCATCTGAAATCATCGTCTGCAAGTCATCACCTTGATGTAGCAGCTGCTCGATTGAAGTATCATCAGGAAGCTTGCAGCCATTTTCCACGCATCTCAAAAAAGCAGTTGTGTGGCTGGCTGAAATTGAGGCAATGGTCTCTTGGCCAGATGGCTTTGCCATAATCCCGCCAGATTGGTCATGCAACCTCTGATTGGCATCAAAGATTGCATCCCTTTGGGCCCCTGAGCCAATTTGGACGCCAACAGGTGACCTGACCTTTGCCAGCTCCCATCCCACTTCTGAAATGGCAAGGCCTTTTTGCAGGACATCGTGTGGGTTGCACATCTGCCCAGATCTGTTCTGGGGATGTACCAGCACCTGATTTGGTTTCAGCTTGCTGCTCCACACCATCCCTGCTTTCTCCAGCTCTGCCATTGTCTTTGATGCCTTCATGTTGATAGGCAAAGCATCATCTGCCAACAACTTCTGGACTTCCTTCACCCAAGGGAGAGACATGGCTATTTTGGCGACAATCAAAATTCCCAGCACTGGAAAAATGCATGTGCACTGCCCTGGGTGGCGAACTACATGGTGGGTTGTTGCACACCTTTGCAAAAGCCTTCTGGTAGCTGTATTCACCTGTGTTGAACGTGCTTGCTCCTTTGTCATGCTTGTTTGTTGCGCATGGTTGCTTCTAGCCATAGAAGCTGCCAGAAATGCAGCTGCCATGTATTGGTTGGAAATTGAAGCCTGCAACGGCTGTTGCATGTGAGCCTGCAAGGGCTTAGCAGAAGAAGCTTCCAAGAGCTGAAAGAAGCCTGCAATGGCTAGTCATGGTGCCTGCAATGGCTATTCATGAAGCCTGCAGTGGCTACTTATGGAGCCTGCAATGGTTACTCATGGAGCCTGCAATGGTTATTCATGAGTCCTTATAGTCTTGCAAAGTGAAGGCCAAGGCTGAAGCGCACCATGGTGTTTTTGTAAAGAAAACTTCTTTAGCCTTGGTTTCTTTGGCGTTTGGAATGACATTTTTGGGATATCTTAATTTTAGGGTGTTTTTAGCTAACTATTTACAATTCTGCTAATGTTTTAACATAATTACAAGAATTAGCATAACCTTTAACATACATTACCTAACATACATAACTTCTAGAATTTTTAGAATATGTTATACACTGTTATAATGGTTTACAACCTTATTAGGAAGCACTTATCAAATTGTTAATAACATGCGTAAATCTTGTAACACATTAGCAAAACCAGCAGCTTCTAAGTATCATTTAATATCCATAAATAACCATAGCTATAATATATAATATATATATATATTGCACGCAAATGTTAGATTATGTTCATTATTGACACAAATCATATTTCAGTCCCCAAGCAGCATCGACCAAAATAACATATATAATCATATAGTTTCCCACCCAACAATATATATATATATACAATGTGTAATATGTAATACATCCAAGGATGTATCAATATAGTATGAATAATAATAGCAATAATAATAATTATAATGATAATAATTAATAATTATCTACTCTGTTCAATTTAAGTAAATCAAGTCAATCAAGTCTTGATGGCTGCAAGGGATCGCTGCAAGGGATTACGTTTACCGTAAAAAAAATATATCCGATCAGAGATTATATAGTAACCACCATAGAATGAATTAGATATATTTCATAACTATCTATTTAGTTGCTATCACATATATATATATAGTTTTATATATATAGGATATTTAAACATATATAGGTAATATAGATATCAACATATCAACATAATATATATATATATGTACACACCAATACTAGATGTTTCACAACTATATATGTTTCTAATTATCTTATATATATATATACATTTCAACATTTGTTACGGTAGATCCACTTCTTTTTGGGGGCCAGACGCACCTGATCTCGCCGCCAGACCTTTGCCGCCCTGGTGGGCACCTTACTGGCCAGCGAGGCGCCGCACGCCCTGGTACCTCGATGGACCGAAAAAAATGGGGGCAAAAACGGTGGTTTTGACGGTGGGTTTTATCATGTGGAGGTACTCCAAAAACGCTGCTGGATGGTTGATTTCATGGAAAAACATACAAGTCAAAGCTGGGATGAGAACTAGTGACTAGTGGTACCCCTATTTTTGGGAAACCTGCATGCTTTATATCGAAATTCATGGGGATCCTCTATGGGAAACTAATAGAAACTATATATAGATGAACATGTTCTATAGTTGAGTTTGAAGATGGATGAAAGAGAGGATTGACACCTGAAAATGTGTCTATAATTGATGGATTTCTGGCTTTAAGATACAATGGTATGTGGGATTGCCATTAACAAAGCTGAGATGGTCCATGAATTTGAGATCAATGATGTGTCAGTGGTTATATCGTAGCAGTCATCAAAGCAGGATAATTGTTTTGTGGTGTTGTTTCCATGTTGATGGCAAAAAATAGTATGCTTCTGTCACAATGAAGTCCTGCATTTGCCATTTCTTTTTAACTACAGATGGTTTTGTTTAAAAAAGGGTACATGGGCACAAAGGTCTTGCTGTGTTGTTTACGATGCTGCATGGTCACTATCGCAACATGTTGAACGAACACAAGTTTGTTCCCCACCTGCCAGGTGAGGGTTGTTAGATTTTATGTCAGTCTGCTCAACCGCGACCCTCGACGCACAGTGTTCTCTGTCGGACCTCCACCACGACCATCCACGCCCAGTGTTCCCTGCCGGACCTCAACCACGACCATCCCCGCCCAGTGTTCCCATGCCGGACCTCAACCACGACCATCCACGCCCAGTGTTCCCTGCCGGACCTCAACCGCGAGTATCCACGCCAAGTGTTCCCTGCCGGACCTCATGTAGGAAGATATGGGACAAAGAATGTGCAGAAGAAAGTTAGAAGATAGAATGCCAGAAGATTTGCCAGATAATATGCCAGAAGATATGCCAGATAGAATGCCAGAAGATATACCAGATAGAATGCCAGAAGATATGCCAGAACATATGCCGGAAGATATGCTAGATAGAATGCCAGATAGAATGCCAGAAGATTTGCCAGATAATATGCCAGAAGATATGCCAGATAGAATGCCAGAAAATATGCCAGATGCAATGTCAGATAGAATGCCAGAAGATATGCCAGAAGATTTGCCAGATAGAATGCCAGAAAATATGCCAGAACATATGCCAGAAGATATGCCAGATAGAATGCCAAAAGATATGTCAGATAGAATGCCAGAAGATTTGCCAGTAAGAAAATGTATAAATGTCATGGTGGGGATCACACGAAGTAAAGTATTTTTTTTGCCTATGTGTGTTTTCCCGTTTCTGTCACAAACTCAGGATTTTTTTCTGCACCAAGGTGCGTTGTGCTTTGAACTTTGGCCTTCCACCTGCAGCTGGTCGGAATTGGATGTATAGAACTATCGAATGGCCAATGATTCTTTTGGATTAGTCAATTATTACAATTTGTCCAGAAATGCTGTTTGACATAATCTGGTTGGTGGTTTGGAACATTTAGTATTTTGCCATATATTGGGAATAATAATCCCAACTGACTAATATTTTTCAGAGGGGTTGAAACCACCAACCAGTTATGTTGCCAACAAAGGATATGATCCACATTTGTCTACAATAAAAGTTGTTTTTCCTATTCAGTTGTGTTTATTCGAAAGAGCGCGTGATCATATACTGGCCATGCCAATGACAATCTGATACAAGTCACTTAAAAAATCATCAAATCAAAGCCTTGGGCCTTGGTGGTTGCTATTTCTTATCCCACCAACATCAATCCGGCACCTGGCACCGGCCCCGTTCCACACTGTCCAGCTTCGGTGAACCTTTCCCGCTCCAAGGACGGTCATTTTATCCCACTGATTCCATACGAGATCAGAATAGATGACAGGAACGATGTCTTCAGAGGGGCCACCAACGACGATTCCGGAGAGCTGGACCTGGACTTGGTGGCTGAGACGGACTTGCCGCCCATGTCGCGCGATTAAAATTAAATTAAGATATGGCTTTGTCTGGAAATGAAGTATCCCAAAAGTTGATGGTTTATCATCATTTAACTTGTCAAAATGGCTCTAATTGGGATATACACCATCTTCAGGCACATACATTCAGAGAACATGGAAGTCGCAAAAAGTGGGGTTTAAATTTAAAGATATAATATAATGCAAGTTTCGCAGGAAAACTTGGTTTCAGGGTTCACATCACTCAGAAAACACAGAGAAATCTTTGAAAGGACAACAGTTGCAAACGGGCTAGAAGTGGGATCTGAAATTGGATGATTTAAGATACCAACGGCGGGGTGGTTTAATTCTGATCTGTAAAGTCTACTTGTGTGCAGTTAGTGCAAGATTAAGGGGTTCCATGTTTTTTTGTTTAACCCAAAGCATATAGTTCTCACTTTCTATCACCACTTGCCTGCACAGGCTGGAATTTGCTGGTTGCCGTTTTAAGCCTGAGCTGAATGGGCTGTATCAACGCCAACTTGGTCGAAAAGACTTGCTGGGCCATTTGCGACCCATCTACCAGAACCTCGATGTGCTTGGATAAATGGGATGGTTCGTACTGGAAATGATCCGTTTTTGAGAGGCCTTGATGTTTGACCACTGACCACCCTTGTTTGTGTGCCCAAAAATGGTCCGTGGATGAAAATCGTGCATGGATCACACAAGATCAGTTGGGTTTGTCCAGTTTGTCACCATGTTCATCCGTTTTCCGTTGGTATACCCCAGTTGTGGATCGATTTATAGGTCACAAGTTCATGGTCTTGTGGATCTGAGGAAGCAAATGGGCTTTTCTCGCCGCTACCGTTGCTTCTATTGGGACGCTGCATTGACTCCTGATGAGACAGCAAGGGATCGGGAGAGTGGCTGGCAACTTGGTTGAAAAGTTGCGTTGCGGTCGGGAAGTGGCTGTTGCAAGGAGTTTTTTTTTGCGAAGGAAAATCATAAAATCAAAGAACCTTGATGTATGTATGTAACTTCCGAGTCAGTTGAGAACATTGTTACCATTTCTGTTTCCTCACCTTCTTGCTTTCCTGTCCTGAGTTGCTGTGCTTTCATAATCGTTTCATATCGTGCCTGTGGCGAAATGAGGGGTTACAGAAATCGCTTGTGTCTCGGTTTGGTAATGCAGTGATGCGACCCAGCCAGTCTTAAACTATAATGTGTATAGTATGCAATGATACCCTCTGGTTATTTAACATAGCCATGGAAAATCACCAGTTTTAATAGGTAAAGCCAGGTAAACCATCTATAAATGGGCCATCTATACCATGGCTATGTTAAATAACCAGTATGTAATGCATGTATATCCTGATCACGTTCTCCACGAGTTACCTTGAACATATCGGAAGCCACTTCAACTGGCTGTTCAGGTCCCATCAGCCCTCGAGTAATAAGATGTTATAAGTTTATTATATAGTTTAGTTGTAAATTCCTTCAATTATACAGTAGCAACTTATAGATATATATGTATAATTATACATATATATATGTGTAATTATATATATATATATATTTATCTATCTATCTATCTATCTATCTAGCTAGCTAGCTATCTATCTATCTATCTATCTAATCTTATCTAATCTTATCTTATCTTATCGTATCTTATCTTATCTTATCTATCTTATCTATCTTATCTATCTTATCTATCTTACCTATCGTATCTATCGTATCTATCTTATCTATCTTACCAATCTTATCTCTCTTATCTATCTTATCTATCTTACCTATCGTATCTATCGTATCTATCTTATCTATCTTATCAATCTTATCAATCTTATCAATCTTATCAATCTTATCAATCTTAGCTATCTTATCTATCTTATCTATCATATCTATCTATATCTCTATATCTCTATCTCTCTATCTATCTATCTATCTATCCATCTATCTATCTAATTTTATCTAATCGTTTCTTATATTTTCTTATATTATATTATCTTATCTTATCTTATATATCTTATAAAATTATCTATCTATCTATCTATCTATCTATCTATCTATCTATCTATCTATCCATCTATCTATCTATGTATCTATATTTCTATCTATCTAATCTGTCTAATCTATCTTATCTATCTAATCTACCTAACCTACCTAATCTATCTAATCTATCTAACTATCTATCTATCTATCTACCTGTCTATCTACCTGTCTATCTATCTATCTATCGATCTATCTATCTATCTATCTATCTATCCTATCTATCTATCTATCTATCTATCTATCTAATCTATCTAATCTATCTAATCTATCTAATCTGTCTAATCGATCTATCTATCTTATCTATCATATCTATCTTATCTATCTTATCTATTTTTTCTATCTTATCAATCTTATCAATCCTATCTATCTTATCTATCTTATCTATCTTTTCTATCATATCTATCTATTTCTCTATATCTCTATCTCTCCTATCTATCTATCTATCTATCCATCTATCTATCTAATTTGATCTATTTTTCTTATCTTATATTATATTATATTTTATTATCTTATCTTGTCTTATATATCTTATATATCTTTTATATCTTATATATCTTATATATTTATCTATCTATCTATTTATTTATCTATCTATCTATCTATCTACCTAATCTACCTAATCTATTTAATCTATCTATCTATCTATCTATCTATCTTATCTTATCTTATCTTATCTTATCTTATCTATCTTATCTTTCTTATATATATATATATATGTATTATCGATCTTATCTATCTTATCTATTTTATCTCTCTTATCTATCTTATCTATCTTATCTATCTTATCTCTCTTATCTATCTTATCTATCTATCTTTCTTTCTATCTATCTATCTACCTATCTATCTATCTATCTATCTATGTATCTTTCTATCTATCTAGCTAGCTATCTATCTATCTATATATCTATCTTTCTATCTATCTATCTATCTATCTATCTATCTATCTACCACAAGCCCTCGCTATATTAGCCATAAATCCAATTTTTTTCCCTTGGCCTTCGGCCCCAGACGCTACCAGGTACATTGCCTCCGAGATCGGTGGTGGTGGCCATATCTTCGCCCGCTGCGTGGGGACGTCGGAAGGCAACGTACCACCCAAACAGGCGCGGCATGGGGGGAGATTGAGCCAAGTGGTTGGTTGAAATGAGTCACCAAGAGATCAAATCACTAGAAAATAGAACCATTAAGATCAGTTCTGTAGATTTGTAGCTATTCAGAATAGAACCAGAAGGTCTAACCATGCTACAACCATGGCCAGGATAGAACCAGGATTCTGTCACCTAGACCTGGCAGACGTTTTTTAAAGGCCACATCTGCCGTCAGGGCTGGAGCTTTACGGACAGCAAGGAGAATTGGATCCGCGAAACGTCCAGCGGCTTCATCCCACCGACCAGTCGCACGGAGCGCATCAAAGCCTTGAACTTGACGGAAGAGGAGTCCAAAATGGCACTGGAAGGACGCTAGCTGGGATGGAAGGGGTTGGTATATGGAAAATGGACGTGTCTTAAAACTGGAAGGCATAGAACGAATTTAGGTTGGGCGCAATTTTGAAGAGTGAACAATTTTAGACCATCCTGAATCCTGTGTGTCCTTTGTGCACGTAAATGTGACAGATGCGAGCCACCAGAATCTCAAGAGGGAGACCATGCCGGTTTTTGGCGCCATGACCAACGAGATGAATAGTGAGAATGACTCAGATGTAGTGACCCCATTCCCTTAAATGGCCTCAAATATGTGAAAATCCCTGCTAAATCAAGGATCCAAGGTTTCTGGGGGTGCTGAAAATAGTTGGGGGGAAGGGATGCCTATAATACTGAAACCCCTATCAATGTGCACAGGCATCCACATGTCAGTAAATGGGCTGCAAATTGAGCACTCAGAAATCAAATCCACTGAATTCAATTGATAGTAACCAGCACCACCCCCCAAAAAATAAGCTACGAGTAGAAACAAGTTAGTAGCTGATCACCACAAGGGGTTTTCACAAAGAACACCCTCCTATCTTTCGTCATACTCTCTATGTGGATATTATATGATATGTTATCATCATATTCATATAATATCATATAATCTTATGAGTATAACCACAAAATAGACCCCCTAATACTATAACAAATCCAACCCAATGGTATAACTGTTCCATCAGATGCTTATTATGTTTGGATATATATATATATAATATAATTATATATATATATATAACAAGATTTCCATAGTATGGTTATCATTTCATGATATTTTATGTGGATTTGATATAACTACAGTCTTTCGATACATAAAACTTAGCAAATAACTCCTGGTTATCCATAATATAACTTATTTTGGGGTTGGATTTGCTGTCAGCTACAGTTACTCAACCTGTCCAGGAGTTGATTTGGACGCCCTCAGGGGATCTGTACAAGGCGCGGCTGGATGTGAAGGGCAAAAGCCTAAGTTTTATCATGTATAGGGGTACATATGTATATATATAATATAATATAATATAATATAATATAATATAATATAATATATATACATATATACCTAACCAATAATGGAATATGAATGAATCTGAGAAAATCAAACAATCAACAGTATAATTTGGGATATAACTATGTATATAATATGGTATGTGGGATATAATTTATCGACCATATCCCCTAAAATAGTTCCCCTTGAATAAAAAACAGTGTTTTCTCACATGAGCCGCTCTATCCTCACCGGCTTCTTGCCAGGTCGTGATCCGGAGGTCTGCAAATATTTCTGCCATTTTTTCATCCTGCTCTGTTTGGAGCTCTGGTGAAACGGCTTTTTCACGGGTGAAACCAGGATGGGGGGATGAGACATCAATGCTGAGACCTCACGACAGTGGGTTTTTTACATGACGGCATCCAAACCGGCCGAGTTCGCCATGGATTGCAGTTCAGATTCGTCCAGTTGGATGTGGTGTTTTCTCGAAAACTAGGTGTCCGAAATTGGTGATTCATGGAACTCAGATGATTTCAGCAGGAGACCACTGGTTCTGGGGGTTCAAAGGTTATCGATCGCCAAGGCCACCAGATGCTTTCAGTGCCGATGGGTGTTTTTTTTTCCAACACCGCTAAAGTGTTGCATGATGTTGACACCCAGATTTGTTTTTTTCCTTGAAGTTCACTGATGGCTTGTAAGATCTTCTAAGTTATTCCACCCTAGTAGGTTATAAAGCCAGTTGTAGCCACTACAAGCACTCCAAAAAAAAGAAATGGACATTGCATAGTACTACAAAGACACTGCCCAACATGAGTCATGCTGCCTATAACAGAATTGTCACCCTTGATAAGCATCAATAGCAATTTCAAATTTGCTTTGACATGGACGTTTCCTAAAATTAGGGTCCCCCAAATCATACTATAGTCATTAGAGCATAAATTAATATTGAAACAACCATGGTCACTATCACCCATGACCCCCATGTGCTGCCTGAACTTCTGGTTCCCCCTTTGCCAGCCATGTTCAAAGGGCAGTGCCTTCATCGGTGCCCCGATCAGGAACTCATGTCGGAGATTCAGAACTTCCGCTCCCGCTGGCGCTTCCGTAGTGGCTTGAAGGGCAGATTGAGCCGACTGAGGATATCTTCCTAGATTGTGCCCATGTTTCTTTTACTTTCTGATAATTTGCCATAGCTATGCAAAATCACCACTGTTGATATATTATATATATAATATATATGTAAGATGTATTTAATTATATATACTAGTATGTACTATAAATCATCCATCAATGGCAAATTTGCCATAACTATGTCAAATTATATACCAACGGGTTGCTATAAATGGTGAACAGTCGAAGTTATAATGATGTGACAGGATATGACTATGAATGGACATACTGGTATACAAGAAGGTTATTGACTATATAGCGGATTTTCCATTGCGTGTGTGTGTGTGTCATATGTTTTGGAATTGTTCATCCAACTTTGGATCGAGAGAATTCCCCAAGTGTTGAATGTTGGCCTATTACAATGCGTTATCCGTTATCATACCTTATCTATAGATTGTATATTATGTGAATATGTATGTATATATATATAGAGAAACACCATGTCCCAGCATGAGATGAAGGCAGAATCTAATGGAATAATTTGAAGCATGTTCCTTATTGAAACCGCTGAAAACCCTTGAAGTATCCTCATTGTTGGACCAGGGACCATAATATATATATATATATATCACAAGAATAAAAATATTAATAACAATAATGATAATAATAATAGTAATAATAATATCATATAATAAGATTATATATAACACTATCATCAAATTAATATAATGATAATAGTTATTATTATACAATATGGGGATGGGTTATTTGTTTGTTAGACGTAGGTGACCATAGAATGGCTGTCTTGATCCACCAGCTGCAACCAGGTTTGAACCAATTGGTGAGCTTTGGAATCGCGTTCAAGGACCCTTTGGATTTGTTCACCAGTGACCATACCTTTCGGGCCCATTTGTTACAGTTTGTTAAATTGTATAGATGGCCCATTTAATTCGATGCTTCACCTATTTATGGTGGTGATATCCATTGCAAGCTGTTTACCAGAGGGGTACACTTTCTGTAAAATGGTGGTACCTCTAAATCCGCAAAAACAGTGAGCATTTTCATATTGAAACCCATCGTCTATTTATATTTCTCCGAGAGAGTTCTTAGTTACTGAGTTCCCACTGAGCGCCGAAAGATTGGTATGGTTTAAGTTTTCCTGATAGCGAAGGTTCATTTCCCAACATAGATCAACATATAGTGCAACAGGTTCTGATGCATACCGATATTGAGTCTATTGGACTAGCAGTGACTGATAGACATGGTGGGGAAATATGTCGCAAGCAGCAGTTTAACCAGCTTTGATTAGGGTGTTTTCACACCAGCGGGTTGCCAGTTGCCAGTGGGGTACAGCATGACATCCCATTTGTCATCCCATGTCATCCCATGCAGTGGCCCATGCAGACGTTCAGGACATGAAAGTGGAACATCAAGGCAAAGTCAGAGAAAGCAAACAAGCCCCTCTGCCAGGCGCGTTGAAAAAGGGGTGACTCTGCTAAGAGTCGAGACTCAAGCTATACTATGCACAGTTTTGGCTACAGCGAAAAAAGAGTTTCTGATGGCCATATGGACCCCAAAACTGTTTCAGTCCCTTATGGCCCTTATGTTTCATATGTTTCATCACCATCTTAGATGAATTAAGATGTTGTAAGTCCATCATAACGCCCCATCTCGTCCCATGACCAGTTGATGTTGACAGCTGGCAGGTTGGCCCAGTCTTGATACGGTCGAGGTTCATTTCTCCCTTCCCAGGAACCTCAAAGACTCCCGGCGGCGAAGTAGGTCTAAGTAGGTGAATGTGGGGTCTCATTGGGGATTTAACATGATTTAACTATCACACATGGTGATTTTTCACCGGATGTAACCAATGATAATGCGGTTTTCATCAAACATAGGAAATGATCCGTACTTATCCATCAATATGCGGATTTAAAAAAATGATTTGAGCACCAAACACATTTTTGAACCATCAAATACCATCAATATTTGTTTGTTTTAACCATATCAAACAGTGGTTTTTAGCCGGATTTACATCAATATCACACAATTTGGATTTAGCCATCAAACATGAGGACTTGACCATAAATTATTTGCATTTAACCATCCAACGGTGGAATTAAACCTTAAATCATGAGACTTTCATTTTAGCCATTTAAGCGCTCAGCACTTTGAGTCAAGCACGAAATATGGGAATGTATTCAAACCCACATGACGGTGACTAAGAAGGGGCACAGCTCCGGCAAGACTGGGGCTTCGACGAGGAAGGAATTGCACCATAGACCGGCAAGTCATTGTAGATGTCTACCAATATTGCTACCCAGCAACTGTTTGAATGTTTGGACCCCTTAAATGGAGGTTTCCTAGAATGGGGGTACCCCAAATCATCGAAAATTGTGTTGCATTTTCGTATTGAAAGCCATGGTGAGTTGGTGATCCCCAGCTCAGGGATCAGGATGTTTTTGTGCTCCTACCCTCCATCCTCTATGGCTGTGTCTGAAAATGGGCTAATATATACCCCCTTTTGTTTTGCATGTTTTGTAAAAATTAGGATTCCCCAAAACAGAGAATGCCAAGGGTAAGGGCCTGGCAGGGCCTGGGGTATCCAATTCGGGGGGGTCAACATTTCCGGATCTCCCCTTGAGGCAGAGGATTGTCGTTTCAAACCTGGGGAGAATGTGGTGATTTCCATTGACAACCCAGTCGCTTGGCGATGTGAGAAACCCATGGAGAAACCGAACGCGCACAAAAGAAGTACCATTGGCGATGATATGGAATGATACTTAACCCATCTCATCACTATTCCGTATCCAGGATCGCAGCTCATTGTTAAGGTTTTGATTGGAACATGGCTTCCTGGATGATTTCTTGTGGCGGTTCAAGTTCAGGTTTGTTCCACGACTTGCCACCCCTGTTTGGACAGCCCATGCAGTCAGAGCCAAATGTATGTTGAATGTGTTCTCAATCATTTGAGTAGATCTTGTGACACAAAAGCGGCATTCTTGATTAGTCATATACCTTCTGGAGCCTTCTGGTTTAAGAACGGCAAATCATCATGTATCTGTATCATCTCCAAGTGGGCCATGGCTTTAAAGTGTTAGTCATTACCAGAGGGTTTGTTTCCATCCCCATAAATTCAGATCTTATCCCCCATTCTATACCCACTCTATCCCAATGATATTTCCATGTGAATCCAAAATCGGGGATTATCATTCCATTCAATCCCCAGTAAGTTCCCATGAAATTCACATCTTCTTAAAACATGAATCATCTATAAATCAGGGATCATATCTATATAACCAGGGATCATCACTATAAATCATCTATAAATCATCTATAAATCATCTATAAATCATCTATAATTCATCTATAATTCATCTATAAATCATCTATAAAATCATCTATAAATCTATGAATCATCTATAAATCTATAAATCATCTATAAATCTATAAATCTATAAATCATCTATAAATCTATAAATCATCTATAAATCAATAAATCATCTATAAATCATCTATAAATCTATAAATCATCTATAAATCATCTATAAAATCATCTATAAATCATCTATAAATCTATAAATCATCTATAAATCTATAAATCATCTATAAATCTATAAATCAATAAATCATCTATAAATCTATAAATCATCTATAAATCATCTATAAATATATAAATCATCTATAAATCATCTATAAATCTATAAATCTATAAATCATCTATAAATCATCTATAAATCTATAAATCATCTATAAATAATCTATAAATCATCTATAACTTCCTGTTTTTTTTTCCCCAGGTGCAGAATCGTGTCGCCGAAGCCATGGTGAAAGATGTGGACTTCTGGAGTCACACCTTGGTCCTCCAAGTGCGCGGCGAGATGCCCGAGGTGCGCGGTGTCCGTGGGGATGATGGTGCCGGGTGGGAACCGGTGGGAACCCGAGGTTTTGCACATGGCGGTTCTGGCGAGAATCTGATGATTTGGTGTTTTTTATGTTGTTTTTTGGAGGCTTAAACTATCTTAAAGTTGGAATATTTATGAATATTTGGAGTATAGTTATATACCATTCTTTATTTAGAACTTGGGAACCCTCGAACCCCAGAGAGTTTCCCTGCAACCATCAAGAGGTGAGTTTTAAAGAACACATCTGGATAGCCTATTATGTTTAAGCTGACTAAATTTCAACATTTGGTTTCTCCAGGTCAGGGATCTTGGTATCATTGGATTGGTTCAAGTGATAATTCACTGTAAACCGTGTTTGTTTCCCCAAAATCAACAGTGAAACAACTATATGTATATATACATTATAATCATTGGAAAGATATGAAACAATCACTAAATCCCCCAAATATGGGGTCTCAACTGTGACTATTTCATAGCTTTCCCCTTCCAATCCGCACTCAGCCCCGAAGGATCCCTGGCGCAAGAAGCGTTATCGCAGCTTGGTACCAAAGCATTGTCCTGCAGGATGTGGAGACACAATGATACACATGGGTATCCCAAAATCCTTGGGAACGCTTGGACATGTGTATATGTATATATATACACATACAGTATATTGTAATACAGATTTGTGTCATTTGTTTAATGGTAGTTACTGGTAATTAACAACCTTTGGTATACCCAATGGTTGAATCTATGTATCATGTGATCTCATTGAGACATGGCTATCACCTGGGGTACAACAAGGATCTTTCGACAACGTGTTATATGTTGCTTGCCATATACCCGGTGAGCTCAAGAATCAGCCCCATCATTGGGTATAATACATATTGATATTAATACCCTGTGGCATTGTAACATATATATATATATTTAAATATATGGAAACTCACCATTTGTTAATAGGCAAATCATGATAAATCATCTATCCGTGGCTTCCGTGGGTTAAATAATCAAAGGGTAATTAATATAGGCCATGATGATCCCCGATCCAATCATGTTCTGTTCTCATGGCCTATGGTTCACCGTCCTGAGCGGACTGACACAGCGTTGCAAGTTGCATAGCACTTCGCTGGAGAAGTGCTTGTTGACCCCATGTACTACAGTGGATGGAAGAAATCCTGCACCAGTTGATAGATGGTTTATCCCATTATTTATAGGGTTTCAACCATCCAAGGTGGTGCAGGATTTCTTCCATCAACAGTAGTAGCTTTTCTAGTCGATGCTTATTTGCTGTGGTAAACCCCTCATGCCATGAATCAACCTCATCGCAACCAAACCAACCACTTTTTTTGGGTCATGTCATATCATCCCAAATCAGGGAGTATATCCAATAACACAAAAAACTGGGGTCGTTGAAGTTTACGACCACATTATAATCTGTAAGTATCATTACTTGGTGGCAAAAATCCCACTTTGTAAAGTTGTAAAACTTCACCCCAGTTATAGCGTTTTTTTTGCCCCTGCTTAGCCTACTTGTGACCGGGGTTATAATCCAATTACCCTCTGGTAATTTAACATAGCTATTGAAAATGGCCATTTATAATGGATTTTCCCATTGAAAATGGTGATTTTCCATAGTTATGTTAGTTTACCAGAGGGTACTAGCTGGGATGAGCCACCAAGCAGGTTATACTCTATGAGATTAGAGTAGATCTATGCAGGTGAACTCAATATCCTGCTATGAGTCGAAACCCCATTTATTTTTGTCGACCCATGAGTCGACCCGACCACAGCCTACAAACCCGATATAGGCAATGTAACATGCCGTTAAGCCAACTTAGCTAACAAGGGGTTGTTATCACCCGGATGATCATGGGCTTATTAACCTTGGGTTCTTGATCCATTGCGATGGTATCACCAATCTTCGGTGGTTAAATGGATAATATAACCATTCACGTTGGTATATGATTTCTATTGTCATTTGCTTTGATATCACCAATATATATATATATTTCATTGTATTTCAATCGTTATATGGTTCTTAATAGCCATTAATTAACAATCAATAATCATTTGGATATCTTTTTTTTGTATCACCAAGGCATTGATTCCTATGCGAACCGGGTCGCCTTTGAGCGGCAGGCAAGCCATGGTTGGTGTTGCGCATTATAAGTCCTATTTGAGATGTGATGTGTGTTGTTATTCTAAAATTAATTTCACATATACCATTTATAGATTGTTCAAATACAACACACACATATATATATATATATTACGATATATTACGATATATATATATATATATATGTACACTATATACATATATATATATACATCCGGTCCATATTGTATTTTCCAACGTGGCCCTACTTCATTCTGATCGTTAGAATCGTGTTTTTTTCCGATTCTCCTGTGCAGGCGAACGCCCTGTTGCAGTTCACAATGGAAAGGACCACGGCAGTTGCCAAGAATGTGGGATGATCCCTGAGTCATTGAAACATATATATATATATATCCCTATTGATCCAAACACTGTCTGAGAAGGTACTTAACCCTCCAAATTATAGTAAATTATACCCCAAACACTTCCTAAGAAGATACTTGGATCCTATGGGTATATTTATATATATATATATATTCATAATTAAACCATCATTTTCCGATGAAATATAAGATATGATTGAAACACGTGTCCAAATAAAAAACAATCGAATTATTAAGGATATGGGTGTGTTTAAGAAAAGGGGATGCCACAACACGGCTGTTCTAAGAGGGAGAATGATGATTAGCCAATGGAGTTCAGAGGTAGTACAGTACTGTACATTATTTTCAGACAAACCCATATCCTTGCGGGATTTTACCATCAATAGTGAATATATAATAGGGATACAACCAATGGACACAATGATCATCTAGTTGGTGGTGCCCCCTGGTTAGCTAAGTTGGTGTACAAGTACGTCAACTAGGATTTATGGTAGATATATGTACACATAACTATGTAGTTCATGATGGGGTTTATAGACCAAACATAACTGGGGGGACAGCATTTGGGGTGTCTCTTCCAGCGCTTTAACTGTGTAGGGGTCATTTTTTTATTTATTTCTTCCCCGGCGCAAAAAAAAGAATGCCGACTGAGACTATCAATGTGACTTGCCGTTTGTGGGTTAAATAAATAAGATGCACTGCTGACGTAGGTAACCCATAGTACTGCATGCATATATGTAATACACAATAACATATAACTTATATATATATATATTCCATCGCATGCATATATCCTCCATTGTATCCCACAACATCCAAATGACATGCTTCCATCAGTTTATATATATATATATATCATCCCCGCTAGATATCCACCATCACTTAATTCTGTAATTGCATGGATATTAATGGTGTTTATCAGTTTATCCCTTTGATTTACCTCACATCATTACCCCCCACAACATCCCCATCAAATGGTTAAAAATAACTATATACGCATATCCGCTATTCTATCCACATCCAAAATGCTTATGATTACTGATCATCTGCCCCAAAGGTGCTGGCTTTCATCCCCGCCCATGCCAACAGTCCCCGGCTGCCACGAGCCTCGTGGAGGACGACGGTCTGTGAGATGTTGGTGTCCGGGGGCGTGGGACGCATTGATGAAATCGTCAAGGAAGAAGCTGCCCTCATGAGACGACGCCAGCTCCGTGACCGCTTAGGTGCACTGGTGACGGGGTGTTTGGTCTGTGGGAGATCCGGGAGGTCAGTAACTTTTTTTAAACCCATGACGGATCCATGGTGCTGCTATATATGGTAGCAATGTAACATTTATCATCAATATACCCCAGTCATGTTAGCATTCATATACCAGCACCATGGATCCTATGGGTTATACTGTTGTTGTTTGATTCATGGGACTTCGACAGATACAACCTCCAATCCCCAGGTCCATTGGGTACTGTATGGGTCAGAACAAGAAAGGTACCCCCCAAGCCACCAACCCAGGTTAATGGGATTTCCATGGTTAATCATGGTTAATAATGGTTAATGATATAATGGTTCATAATGGTTATATAATAATGGTTAATAATGGTTCATCAGTTTCATCTTGTGTATTGACCAACAAAAAGGGTACCCCCATTAGGATTAGGACCGAAAATTCTGCTGGAAAAAGCGTGGTGGAGGCCCAGACTACAAGGGCGAGCAACAGGCCAAATTGGCCAAAATGGACAAGGAAACGAAGGCAGGGGCGATTCAGGGAGGTTTGAGAACTGAATTCTGAAATTGTAAGAAGCACACAAATGTTTTTGTCCAGTTTATGGATTACTTTCCTATTTTAATGCCAGTATAATGCCAATTTATGGGAGATTTCCACCGGCCGTGGTTGATTACCGGGATGTTTTTCATAGCTCGCCGGTGGTTTTTTTCGAGGTTCAGAACTATGGGCATCCTTATTTCCCCCATGAAATGAGGAGCCAAAGAACACCCAAAAAGTGTGACAACCACATGATGGCATTATATTATCCCCATATATCTCCATTATGTCCCCACTATATCCCGCTAATAAGCGCCACTGAACCAGACGATGTTGGAAGGTTGGAGAGTTTCTTTTTTTTTGTTGCGGCCAGTCATGGTAAGGCCAAGATCAAAGCCGATGCGCTGGCGATGTGGGACGAGGAAGACTTCTTTGATGACGAGGAGTGCCGGAAAGCGCCTGCTTGACTTGCTGCCAGGGTGTGAATTGTAAAGTTGAAGGTCAAATGCAGTTTATTATATACATCATAATACAGTATAATATATGATATACATAGTAGACATGTGTTATATCCACAGATGTTGCAAACTGAAGCTCATGGTGCAGGCGCAGGAGGGCGCAAAAGATGAGTTGGAAGACATCGACATCACAGGCATCAGTGACGTCAAGGAGGAGAAATTGTCCCCCGAGGAGGAGGACCCAGCTGCTGTGAATGCCCTGGGCCCCGTTTTTGCGACAGAAATGAGAGGAGAAAGGTAGGGGAAGTCTACGGATTACGATCCAGGGATATGAAACGAACAATGGGAGTATTTCATGGGATGTAAATTACATCATGTAATGGGATACAACATGATACAACCATATACAACCATTTTTTTTGGATATTGTGGGTGTATCTGAAAAACAGGTGATTTGCCGCCAAGTTATGGCCTTTTTAATGGAGAAGATCGTGACAACCAGCGGACTTGGTCCCTACATGTCCTTAGCCTCAACTTGAGTTTGTGCAATGACAACCCTGGATTAGTAGACCCTTAACAGAGGGGGTTCCCCAAATCAGACATACCAACTCATACCATCTGGTACTCAAACATGGCAATGGAAATTCCTCCATTTATGGTATTTATGTATTGTCCCACTAAAACCTCCATTCATAATGGAGTTTTCATTGCCACGTTTAGTTACCAGAGGGTAAATCACTATTACAAGAATTACAAGTGGCATACCAACTCCAAGTTGTAAACACTGGGTTTAGTCATCCTGGGATCCAAAAGGAGCAACGCAAGAAGACTATAGCGCTGGCATCGGAAGTAGTTGGTCCTCGGCCCAGATGTTTTTTTTTCTGTCAGTGATGCAATTGGTGGAATACAGTTCAAAGACCTTCTCATGTTCTTAAGAAAAAGAACCATTTTTTTCTGTAAGTGGGATACTTATCACTCTCATCATGAGTTGCTTTGGAAACATCATGGTACCTGTACATCTCCACAGCGTCACCAAGGTGAAGTGAATGAAGATAATCTCATGACAGCTACTATCCAGGCAGACACGTCAGTCACAGGGTGGGAAAATTGTGGTAAGTATATATATATATATTGTGGTCATATCTCAGTTTGGTAATAGTTTATTTTGGATGATTGAGGTGTAAACCCCAGCTGTTTGATGTTTCTCCCAAAAACAATTTCTGTCGGCATAAGAAAAGGTTGGTTATACACGTTCAGATCGTTATGTCACCATACCATTTATTCGATGGTCAGTAGGGAGCTGCCAGGAGCTACCCGGAGCTATGGCACAATATTACAAACAAAATAATGGGTAGCCAAGGAGATACTGAGAGTTTCCCAACCACATGGCAGGTATGTCTGGACAAATTCAAAGTATGAGATGGATTGAAGAGATGTATCCATGTTTTTTTTGCTGATTATAATGTAGATGACTATGAATATGTGTTTCTGGAGACAGGCGAACGCCTTGCCGAACACCTCTGATGCGCAGAAAAATGCCATCGTCAATGCTATGTCCAAGAGGCTTTTTTTTTCGCCGCGGAGGTTTGGGCATGGGAATGACCTCTATATATAATTAATATACATATATATATATATATAACCCACTGGTATATCTTAAATTATGTCCATGTTTGTGATTTATAAGGCAATTTCCAGATATTTGTTCATTTTGGTCGTAATAGCAGCACCTTTGATCATTGCACCTTGGAAGGGCATGGCACATGTTTTTTGGTAAAAAATAGGGCGATCTTTACTGCACCAAAAAAATCTTGGTCTGATACCCAGAACCAGCAAACCACACCCAAATCAGCTCATGTTTTTCACGGTTGTGTCAAGATTGTGTCAAGATTATCCGCATCTCGGAAGCTTTGAGCGAATGCTCACAACATCAAACCACTGGAAGGGTGGCTATCGCCATCAGACCTGCGATGCCAGGCTGACAGTTATCCAGGGGCCACCTGGCACCGGAAAGACACATACCTCTGCCACTCGCATCATATTCTGAGGGCAATGCCTTGCATGGTTGAGGATGTGCAGGACAGTTTTTGGCGCATTGTGTTGGACAAGTTCCTGGAAAATGAGTTTTGATTCAGTGAAGAATATTGTTCGCTTCCCTGAGTTTCATAAGTTTAAACATCACCATTGACTCTAGCGAAGAAATACCGAGGCAGCAAGGGCTCCTTGTTGCATGATCAGAGTTGGAGGTGTTCATACCATGATTTATCCATGATTCATTTGGGTATGGATCAATACCTATTAATACCATTTTTAGTGGGATGAACATCCATTTACCAGCTATTTTGGGGTTCACCAGGGGTACAGGGTTTTGAACCATCCCCATTTTTGAATCCACTTTAGCAGCAGTTTTGTGAAGTCAAGACTAGCTGCAAGTCATAAGATGGGTCCTTGACATCCCATCTTTTCTAATCATTTCCAAGGTCAGAATCTTGAGCAGTTGGGTGTCTTGGTGATGTGAAGCCGCAAGGCAAATGGAGCTTTCACTGGGTAATCTGTGAACACTTTTTGAATGCTTCGGGGGTCTCATTTTGGGGACCCAAGTGTGACACGAACAAACAAATGAACCAAACACAGTTTAATCAAACTATGCATAGCTGGACTGAGTTAGCACCTTCTTTTTTTTGCCTGTGGACGTTTGATGTTGTTTTAGATGACATGTGTATCTTCTTGTTTCACTTTTGTTCATGTTTTGTTCATATTATTGGGATTCACACTTTTCCAAGAGCATGTGGAGAACTTGTTGGGTAAGGTGAAAACGATGGGCTATAAACCTCTCCTGGCTACTTCTGAATGCATCTCGTTTGCACCGTGCCCTGGGGGAGATTTCAATCTTGGCTGCTTGGTAAAAATGTGGGCCCCACTGTTGAGCATGGTTTCTCCCATCCCTTCATATTGTAGAAGGCTTTGGATGCTCAGAGAAGGGGTCAGTTGACGTTTCTTGGTGGCAATCATCACGGGGCTCCACTGTTTCTGCCCGGCCCAAGGCAACGTGGCGGTGGACAATATTGCAGAGGGCCTTGTAGCGAAGCTCGATGACATTAGCTGCTTTCGCAATTGGCTTGCAAGAGTCATGTTCTGCGGGTTCACCTTGCAGAGGTTTCATATGGTTTCGTGTTAAAATATTCATGACACACGAAACCCTCAGCTGAGTTGGGGTAAGTCAGAGTCATCTTACATGTTTATATATATATATATAATATATATATATATATTTGTTGTAGAAATCCCCTTACATAAAATCGAACTTCGTATGGCGGCCTCACATAAGTTGCACTCTGACCGCCTGGCCGAGGAATGGAATCAAAGTGGTACGCATCGGAAAAGGCGAAAAGATCAGCCAGCGGTTGGAAGAGGACCGCCGAAGACGTCTTTTCGTTTGTGAATCCCCTGGCAGGGGACGGATTGTTGCCATAGGCCATAGGAGATGGATATCGTATGATATACTTTGTATGTTTTGTTAAGGGGTGAATGCAGAGAAATCACTAAGAGTCAACTAAAAGTTACCCTCTGGTAAACTAACATAGCTATCGAAAATGGCCATTTATAGTTGATTTTCCCATTAAAAATTGTGATTTTCCATAGCTATGTTAAATTACCAGAGGGTAAAGTTTCAGCAGGGGATCAACCACTAAGGGATCTGTTTTTTTTGTTTGCGGGGGGTTGGGGTTGAAAGCACCAAACCAGCCAGGCCAACCACATATGCATCTATTGTCGGAGCTCATGGACGGCCTGGACATCAGCATAATGAAGTGAAGAGTCAGCATATCAAAAGTTGATATGTAGAATGTATCATCTGTACCGGACTAGTTGAACTAGTGTTGAAATATGTGTATATATATATATCTATATATACACGGAGGTTTCTTTAAACCCCAATATAGGTTTTAAACGAAAATGGTCGAATGACTTGGATGATTTGGGGGTACCCCCTATGACTTAGGAAACCACCATATATTGGTCTATCACCCCATGGCACATCCCCAATCACCAGCGCTTGCATAGGCGATCCTCGACAATTTGGTTCGACATGGACGGGAACAGTTGAAGGAAGAGAGCAAAGACATGTATGATGATGACGAAGTCATCCAGGACGGCTCTCCTGCTGTCATACCCCATAGGATCCATGTATGGTATATATGCTAACATTTGGGGTATATTGATGGTAAATGTTACCGTATATAGCATACATGGATCCTATGGGTACAGAAACAGAATATGACCTCCTGGTGACCTGTCATTTTTTCCTCCGTGGGGATGCCAGGACATAGGAGAGGAACCCGAAGACCGGAGGTCATCTGAGTGGGAAGCCTGGAGTGCAAACAAGGACTGGAGAGCCGCGGAGTTCTTTTTTTGGGTGAGTTGTTCCTCACGGGGATGATCATCAATCATCAATCATCATTCCCATACCCTCTGGTAATTTGTTACATAGCTATTGAAAATGGCAAGTTATAGTGGATTGTTCCCATAAAAAATGGTGGATCTTTCCATAGTTATGTAAACGTTTACCAGAGGGTAGGATCCATTCACGGTGCTGCTTTAATATATGGTGTGCCATGGATCCCATGATGATATTCATCATCAATCCACAGGGTCAACCCGCCAGACAGCTCACACCTTCAATCTTTATGTGTGGTTACTATTGGTTACTGTACCCATAATCAATTTTGGGGAATGCGCTCAGATGTTTACCCTGCCACCAACAAATCAGGTCTGGATTATGTTGTCCAGCACCGTCCATCACATGCTGTTGATCAGTTTTCCACAATTTACTACAGTATACTGGTATTTCTTGTTTTATTTGCATTGATGTCTTCAACAGCTAGAATGATGGTGAAACAATTAGTGGTTTGGCCTCAAAGGGCTCTTATTGGATAATGGGAACTTGTGACAGGACCCTCTCCTCTAGTTGGTAAGAAATTGAATCGTTAGTTAGTACCAGGCGGTGTTTCTCCAGTTATAGGTTTATAAACCCATTGGCCCATTAACTATAATGTGGGTAAAACAATAATAAACCATCCCCAATTTCATATAATTTCATCATTTTTATAGGTGGTATGTTTACCATTCCCAGTCATGGGTGGTTTATGACATTGTTTTACCCACATGAATAGTACAGTTGTAGGTTGGTTTATAAATCCATTAACATCCATTAACTATAGTTTTTCCCCATAAACCCTGGTTTTTCCCTGCCGTCTCCAGGCTCGTCGAGCACAAAAACGGGCCTGGGAAAACCAGCAAACCAGGCGGGGATTTTGGTTGGGAGTGGCAATGGGAAGCCAATGGCAACCTGAAAAATCCTTAGAGATGGACAGAATTCGAGTCAAATATATGTGTAAATAATGTCCAAATAGATTCCAGTTATATAATATCCAAATATGTGTGAAGTGATATGTGTGTGTGTGTGTGTTTTTGGTGTTTGCAGTGCGGAGGACATGGAAGATGTCATCCAGACATCAAGCTGGGCGGCAGTTGTGGCTGTACCCCAAATCTATCAAAATCCAAAAATCCACTGCTTCATCATGATGTTTCCTATTAAGATGGCTGTGTGGTGGTATACCCCGTTTCAGTCACACCAAAATACCCATATATGGTTGGTTATATATTCCCCTTATATATCCTTATAAATATATATATATATATATCCTTATATACCCATTGTATAAATCATCATTTTATCATGTTTTTTCCACTTAAATCCCCATGTTACTGTTGTAATTCTGATTTTAGCTTGCTTCTCTTGCTTGATTTTAGCGGAAAGTTTTGCCCCGGAAAGACAGGTTTATGCAACAAAAGATCCTCGACGAAGCCGAAGTCATTTGCGTCGCATGGCAAGAAACTGTGGGCACGACCTGATTGGTCCACGAAACGTGTGGTGTTTTATATGGGATTCCTTTACCCTCTCGAAATCAAAGGTGGCTACTGCTGGGAAATCTCCTGTATGGTTAACTACTATAAATGGGAAATCACCTCCTAAAAAGATCGAACAAATGGAACAATCTGGGGGAAACATCATCGGCGCGCTGGATTTTTTTTGGTCTGTCTTTTTGGGGATTACCAAAATCGGAGTACCCCAGCCCAAAACCATTAGCGTACCCTTGGAGAGCCATCACTTGGATGATAACATTGATTCCTCATGATGGTTTTAGATGATTTTAGACTGTTGTAGATTATGTTCCCCTCATTTCCAGGTTTTCAGTTTGTCTTCCTTTTTGGGGGTTGTTCTGACAACTTGTTCTGAGGCTAAAGATCTTCCCACCACTTGGTGGTGAACATCTTGGAATATCTTAGACCTTTAGGGCCTTTAGGGACCACCTCAAGTACCCTCTGGTAATTTAACATAGCTATTGAAAATGGCCATTTATAGTGGATTTACCCAATGAAAATGGTGATTCTCCATAGTTATGTTAGTTTACCAGAGGGTAAATAAAAACCACAGATCTAAGTGATCTAAGTCCCCAAAGCTTCGATTTGGAATAGACCCCACGACAATCCAAAACGACAACTGTTTCACCGCTGAGGCCACCACCATCCACTGTGGATCAGAACTTTGGCTTGTTGTCGTCGTCGTCGTTGAACCGAAACGTTGAACCGTTGTTGTCGTTGCAAAAGAACCGGACTCCGGCGGTTGGATGTTCGTTGGCGATGTTCCAGTATCCTCAAGGATACTGGAACAATGTGCGCGCTATTTAGCGCAGTTTTTTTTTGGCCACTTATGTAGGAAGTCATAGGGATTCAATCACCACCATCTATTGTTTGGGAATCACGACAGTTGTGGCACGAAAGTGGCACTGATGTGTCACCAGCCATCCTTTCAGGTGAAGCTATCAGGTTTCAACTTCCATGGAGTTCTGATTGACGAAGTGGCACAGGCAACTGAAACCTCGTGCGCCTTGACTATCATGCTGGGATGGCGTTCTTGGATGTTGCTCTGCTAAAGTATTCCCTGCTCTTTCAATGGGGGTGTTTGAATCTTTATGGCATCCATTATGCCAAGTTACTTAAATTTAGTGCTGGAAATATTGGAAATACTGGAAATGCGGAGAAGTCCATGTTTCGGAAGGGCTTCAGTGAACCAGCAAAGGTGGAGGAAGTACCATGATTGATAAAATTGCTTCGCAACTCATCTGGTTGGAGTGGACATGCCTTGGTTGAATTCCCAACCGGACAAGTAGGTGTCCACCTCAGGTTCACCCTCAGGACTAGGGATATATGATATCGATGGAAATCCGTTAATGGCTTAATAATGAAGTTTATTAAAGTTTCCTAGTCTCCCAATAATTTTGCTGGTCAACATCCTGATCATGTTACATCCCACGGAATGCACTGCCAGATACTTGGCCCCTTTAAATCTACAATTTGGATTCTTGTGGGAATAGATCAAAATCTATAATGCCATATTTTGGGGGAGGAACATCCACGTACCAGCAAACTGTGGAAAAGAATCAGATATAGCCCAGCCCAATGATGAAATCATCATGGATTACAGATGGCTATCACAGTTAATTAATTGGCCCAACATGGGCTCCATGTTGCAGAATCTTTGGCATCGGGGATTGGGGGTGGTTGATTGTATGAGTTGAGATTCCCACATTTTGTCGCGATCAAATCGCCAAATATGACCTAAAATTGAGGTACTGAACACAGAAAAAGAACACCACATGGCATCTGAAACGACCTTTTTATCGGTGCCGGTCGGCCGCCCCAGGCATTGTGCCCGTGGTGTGCCGTGGTGCTCAACAGCTGGTTCTCTGTGCCTCGGTTTGCGAAGGATTTTTTCGCAGCAAAAATATGGGAACTTCACCAGCAAAAATGGGGATTGAACAACGAGAATTCAGGGTTGCTCCAACCCAGTATACCCTCTGGTTATGTCAAAATAGCTATTGAAAATTGTCATTTATAGTGGATTTTCCCATTAAAAATGGTGATTTTCCATAGTTATGTTAGTTTACCAGAGGGTATACCTTGACTTGCAGAAGATGATGTCTGAAAAAAATTCCCAATAGGAAATCCACCAGAAACGGAGAATCTACAGGGAATATGTTTTGTGTTTTGGGGGTTCCTGAAGCAAATCCAAGTATATGTACAGTAAATTATAATAAATTATATGCACAAGGAGACTAACGACATGTAGTCTGTAGTCTTACCATATTCTACCTCTTGATTCAGTTTACTCCCTCTGGACCTGGAGTGTTGGGAGCAACCTTTGAAGTTATGGGTTTGACTGAAAATAGGATACCACACAATTTGATGTTTAATCGTAATTATGTTTCATTCTTATTAAAATAGCCATAACCTTAGGGTATACCCCATTTTCACAGAGGCCCATTGCCCACAGTTACTTGTAGGTATATCCCATTCTATCCCTAAAAATCCGAATAAATCAAAAAAAAATCTCTCAGAAATCCAATATATCCAATGAACAATCCTCATCAAACTCCAGAAAATCCCATGAAGTTACCATGAAGTCACCATTAAAATCCCGTTTCAAGGTGGAGATCATTGTCAACTGCCTCCCTCGGTCATTTCGCGCGAGGCTGAACTGCGAGGCACCGAGTTTTCGGATGTTTGCGCGGCCCCTTTTCATAGTGACAATTATCATACCGATCTTACAAGCTATTATCATATGATCTGGGCGAATTATAACGACCTCACTGCGACCTCACTGGAATCATGGTCAATAAGGGAAATCATCCCCAAATGGCCTTAATTCAGGTCAGTGAATTATTATAATTTACCCAGATATGATAATCACTATTTATTATGTGAATTACTGATGTGTATTACTATTCATATTAATGGCAGTTAGGATGTGTATTATATTATTATCATTCTTATTGTGATTGGCAGTTTCACATAGCTATTGTTTTTCAACCATACACACGGTATGATTGGTTGACATGACGAGCATATTTTACGGATGGGATAAAACCACCAAGCAGATTATGATTGGAGGATGTATATAATATGATCTCTACAAGCTATAAGGATGTATTGTATAATGTTTATAATTGGATGATATATGGTGGATGTACAAGAATGTGGTAAGCCGAAAGCCCACTTGTAAACAATCCCTGATATTGATCATAAATGGGTGGTATACATAAAGCCATCCAATGGTAGGTATTAAGTGGTGTCTACCACACTAAACAATTTCTAAAATGCAACATATGTTACCAATACATCACTTTTATGGCAATCTATTTTGACCTGAGATACTTGCTTGTTTGGAAGTTTTTTTGGGGAATGGCAGTGTTATCCATTTATAGTCTGTACCCGGATATAACATGTATATCTGTATATATATATATATAGGCGATAATATATAATTACATATATATATATATATAATATATACACATGTCTCAACCAAAGTTTAGGTGAAAACTTCGTTCACGGTGATGCCCCTCAGGGATGTTTGTTGGTTGATAGCTCCGTGGCTAATCAAAGAAGTACAATGTTTGATGGTCAAACACGGCATAACATGATGTTTAAGTACGTGCAGGTGTCCAATGAATGTCTAATTCATCCAGATCCTTGAAATGTATTATTATTTAGGTGACTCAAATCCTTCTAACAGCATATATGTACATATCTTAGAATATCTTGGAATGGCTAGTCCAGCCACACGTCGCTGTCGAAGTTTTCAGGCTTCACCCTCTCACTGTACTCACGAATGACGATGACAGGGGTGCAGCACTCAGGCGGAGGTCGGGGATGGCACCTCATAATTTTGGTGAGATGGGCATGGGTCAAGCTGGTCAAGCCATTTACATCATTTACCACAGACGTTGGTATATGTTTAGTATTAACCATCTAAGTATCGGGGTACCCAACGATTTGACCCATACCCAGATGTATGATAAATTCAATAGCCACATCATGTTCTATTCAAGATGCACCCAAAATTATCAGTGAACATTGTCATGCTACTTTACATCATAGATTCAACAGGAGTACCAGAAACTGTTGCAATGGAAGGGATTCCACTGGATCTTGTTTTGTCCAAGCGAAGTTCCTTCAAGATGTATCATGCCCCACGAGTTTCCGCGCGTTTAATGTAGCCTTTGATGCAGAGAGCTACGTAGTATTAGGACGCTCATGTGTGTGTGTACGCATACATGTATCGATGTATATATTGTATTATATTGTATTGAATTGTATTACTGTATATTGTACAGTATTGTATATTATTATTGAAAAAATGTTATGATATGTTTTGATATAGCATGACATGATGTGATATGACATGATATGAAATGGCATGATACTATATGATATAACATATGATGTGACATGTCATATGTTGTAATTATACATTGCCTGCTAGACACCATGCAAGCACCTGCCCTCCTGGAATATATAAGGCCTGTCGGATAAGCACTTCTTGCGCTTTTTTGGGAACAGCAGAGCAGTTGGGAATGGTTCAAAATCACTCACACAAATGTGTCACTGATAAATCCAACAATGAGAATCCCCATACAAACCATCCTCAAGTGGAGGCTCATGTGTTTGCTTGCCACAGCTGACGATACGAACATTATTCTTTTTGTAGGCTCCCCAATGCCGTATTTGAGCCATAGCCATGTGATTGATCCGCGACCAAACAGCTTTTTTCAGCCGACGCTTGCTACTCAATTGCTACTCGCTTCGATTTGCTCCAGCAAGCAGCGAGTCGCCGAGAACTTGAACATGCCAAGTTGCCAAGTTTGATGAAAGATCCTCTATAAATGGAGGAGGTCTATAGTTGGGCAAATGCTCCAGAAACACTAGAAAAAATCATGTTCCAGCCACGGTTGATCACCCATGAATGTTGTTCAGTTGCTGGGGAAACCTTGGCGTTAATACTTTGCTATAAAGGTGGATGCATCCACAGTAACATTCTGAAACACGTTTTTTGCAAGGTAACCAAGATTTGAATAGCCATGGTTGTCAACCATCAGATGTGTGAGGGCTTTACATGGTTTACTGTAACCAGAATACATTCACTGAGTAAACCTTGGTACTTTTGATTAGGCAAGGGACCTAGTTTTTGGCCACAAATGGAACAACATGTTATTATGATGTTGCTGCATTTAGCCCGGTCATACTGTAGACAACTTGAGTGCAGGGTATCCATCAGGTTCAGCCCAGTATTGTCACACTAAAGCGCGGGTGCAAAACTGTAGCAACATTCAGTCGGAATCTGTCCAAATGCAGAACTACTAGATCCATAAGATTGTCTACTAGGGTTTTCTTTGCCTCCATTGCAGTTCCTTCAACTGAAACATCAATGGAATTGCGTTAACAGCGAATCATGCCCTGCTGGGATTGAAACAGTGCAGCATAGTACAGCCATTCTTTGGTGCACTGCGCATGGACTATGGACGCTCAGACGGGACAATCGGTGCTCTCCAACGTTTCTGCATCCGACAACCCTGCAAACTTCACTACAGGGGCGCAAACGAGACAATCGATGCTCTCCACTGCTCAGCCATATTTGTGGCCGCCTTTTTTGTGGCCGCCATTTTTGTTTCAAGTCGGTGCTTGCTGTCGCTTTAACACCTAACACGTTTGAATCATCAATGGTACTTGGAAACTTCATCCCTTGTATAGTTGATTTGATTCCACGTCTTTGAACAAATTAATGTTCTTGACCATTTACTATTTAGTGAAACAGATCTGCGAAGTTCGTTTGTGGCCAGAAGTTTAGGCCATTCTTCCCAGCCCTTGGTGGGCTGTTCAGTGCCGGCCGGAGAGCTGCTCGTTGGCACCAGTGAACAAGTTAGCAACCGTAAGTGTCCAGAAAAAGACGTTGGTCGAATTTATCATATGGTGTGGACTCCAGTTTGGATTTGGTTTGATGTTGGTTTGCATTGCTATCACGAGCCCGCGCAGAAGCAGATAAGATTCCCATTTTATTTGGTTTAACAACTGTTTTGTTGGTGAAACCCAGTAGCTTCAAGGCATCTAGTTGATGGTATATTTGCATCTCCCCAAATGGCCTTTTACGGTACTTAAATGACCATTTGTGGATACGTTTCATAAATTTACATCCCCATTTGATGCCTGTAACCATCACCAACTCCCCAACAATCCTTTTGGTCCATGGGATTCCCCAGGATTTTTGGAAGTGAAACCTGCCAAAACCCCGATGTTTCCCCGTGTTTCAGCCAAGAGCCTCAAGCCGAGGTCTCCCAACTGACTCTACAGTCGTATTTATCCTCTAACTCTCAACCCTCACGGGGTTCACTGCAGAGTCAACAGAGTGTTGCGACCGTTCAGAGCATGGACAGCCTACATGAGGCACGAAGGAGGTCGACGGTGTATCGAAACCAAAACGTGGAGACGTTCTTGAAGGTGCGACGGCTTTTTTCTGAAAAGCCACTCAAACCCTCAAAGTAGCCATAGGAATTAGAAAAAAAACAACCAAATGAATGGGTATTTTTCCCGATCTCTCTATATAGGTACAAGGAGGGTCTAGCTAGGTGAATAGTGATGAAGTTTGAAAGCGTTTGGGAGCCCTGAACATCTACCAGAAGCATAGGGCATGAGCCCCCAAGAAGTGGCGTGGGAAGATATTGTTCTTGGGTAGGAGATGAGAGGTTTCTGCTCCAGCCCTTGGATGTTTTCTTTACAAAGCTGGCAGGAGAATGGATTCAAGAGCATCAACAAGCCCAGGAAATTTCGACCACATTGGTTCAGCTGCAGCAGTGAGACGATTTACCCCATTCATTTGGCATCAGTTGATGGGGACAAGCCTCAGATGTTGCTTGGGACAAGCGAAGCATGGACCGGGGGCATATAGATATGAAGCATGACATGAAAGGACCTACAGTTTGGAAATCTGACATAGCTATGGAAAGTGGCCTGTTCGTGGATGATTTACCCAGAAGAAATTGTCATTGTCATTCATATGTTCCATAGCTATGCGCTATTGTCATCTATGTTCATTACCACAGGGTGCGCTCTATGCTGCATTCAAACAAACTTGCAGTGGATCCCGCATGTCAATCATTGAACCATTTGACATTCAATCTCTTCTGGGCAGCGTTTAGGTCGATCTCACAATGACCTCATCAAAAACGACGGTTCTAGTAAGGGAATTCATGCCCAAATGACCACCATTTTAGCTGCGTGAATTCAGTTTCTCTGTGAATTAGCATTAAATAAGTGTTTTAAGCACAATTCCGGAGACATAGCCCATCAAAAAAGGTTTTTGTCCCGCCAACACGGTGCGATTAGCGATACGTAACACCACTGTTGTAAAAGTAAATCCCCATGAGGATACCAAGCCGTCAAAATCAAGGACAGAGACATCACCAACAATGCTCTAACTCTGTGTTTATTCTATAACTATCATAACTATCCGCTTTTTTATTTGGGGTGTTACCATTTTATTTCCAGAGTTGACATGAGACAAACGGATACAAATGGATGACTGTCTAGAAATATCTAGCAAATCAATTGGGGGAAAACCCCAGGTCCACTGGTGAATCATCATCATTCCTGCAAGGTGTTGCCCCCAAATGATGTTTCAAAATTTCACCAGTTCGATATCAAACATAGTTCCCGTTCAGCTAACCATCTTTATGATATATACCAACTAAAGATGGATGCTTTCTGGATGCTTTCTATGATCGTCTTTGGGCTCCACCTGTCGCATTTGGTGTACCCTCTGGTTATTTAACAGTTTGCCATGGTATAGATGGCCCATAGAAATAGATGCTTTACCTATTAAAAATGGTGGATCTTTCCATGGCAAACTGTTAAATAACCAGATGGTAAATCCTATTAAATCCCATTCAATCCCATTAAACCACCATTAAATCCCATTAAACCACCATTAAATCCCATTAAACCACCATTAAATCCCATTAAATCACCATTTCTGTTTGTGTAATCATCTTGGGGGCCCATGTGGCCCCATGTGGCCCAGCGTTAGGCTGATGCTGTTGGCCGCCAAAGCCGATCCCTGGAGCACCACGTCCAAGGGGCGAACGGCCATCTCCATCGCTGAAGCATGTGATGAGGCGCGGTTCAAGAGGCCTAGGTGGGGTCTCTAAACGCGAACAGTTATAGTTTGTTTATACCTAAGTATGCCTTATATGTCACTAGGGTTTAGGATGGTTTATGATAGATGTAGATATTGGGGTTATAAAGCAACAAACATAACTGAGGGGGCCCAGCTTGTAGAAATAAATACCGGGTGAGTCGGGGAGAGAAAAAAAATAATTGATGATAAATGAATGATAAATGGATACTTATACATGGGACAATTATGTGATATGAACCAACCAATGTATGGATACAACAAATCATTAATTTAGAATGTAATAGTTTGTTTCTTGATATTGGTGTAACTACTATATCCGTTCGAATTAAGTATGCTGAGGTATTGTAATGGTGTGGGCAAGCGGCTCAGCTTGCCCGTGCCTACGTCGACTGCGTTTTGTGGGACAAAATGCACATGTCCATGACCATGGCTTTCATCTTGCAAGGCACAGCTTAGCTACCTGTGCGTTGAATGTTACATCATCATCATCATCATCATCATCAACAACAACATGAACCCTAAACCATAAACCCTAAGCCCTAAAACCCTAAACCCTAAACCCTAAACGGCTTGAACATTCCGTTGAATATAAAGTTTAACGGGGGTGCGGATTTGACGATTCCCTAGAAACTCTGTTGAAACATGTTGAAGATTCCCTTGAATGTGTAAAGTTTAACGGGGGTGGGGATTTCATGATTCCCTAGAAACTCCGTTGAAACATGTTGAAGATTCCCTCGAACATAAGTTTGACACGCCCTCCACTATCCTCTGAAAAGTTGTGTGGGCGAGCTGGGGGTTTGCGCGTATTGGTTCGTAATGGTACTATAATTTCTTATGATAATACATTAAACTGGCACTGTATTATAATTATTTATTATATTGTTGTAATTGTATGATGATGGTATCTCATGGTGAATATTAGCAACATATTGACTCTGGAGGGCGGTTACTTACTTTCGGGTAAGATATGAGCAACAAGCAAAACTATGGAATTTCCACCTGGTATTGTTTTTTTTTTTTCAGATTAAGCCAACAGTCTGCAATGGGTTGTTCAAAAACTGGTGGAAATGTGCATCCAACAGTCCGGTTTGAAACATTGGCGATTCATCCAAGTTGGAAATGTCACCAGCAAACATGGCACCTTCTCGTCATGTATACAACACAGCTATTTTTTTGAAAGCATCATTATGAATTATGGATAGGAACATCACCATTTTTAATATTCAAATAATCTATAGATGGGCCATGTTCCATAGCTATGTCAACTACCAAAGTGTATTTTTTTTCTGAAAAACCAACGGGTAGATGAAGCTTGCAAGACTGATGTCCATATATTTGCAAAGGCCAAGTAAAGTTGGGGATTTTATCAACAATCCCAGGAAATGTATTAATATATATATATATACACAATAACTGTACACAACTGTACTATACATATGAATACATTGTTATATGGGGGCAAGTCAAAATAGAAGGTCCGGAACAAGCTCCGGGACCACACCCGTTCCATACCCCCGTTCCATACCCCCGTTCCATACCTCCTTGAAGGATCCGTTCCATACCTCTGTTCCAGACCTCTGTTCCATACCTCTGATCCATACGTTATTATATATATAATTATATATAATTATTATTCATATATATATATTTGATTATGTGCAATCTGATTTTACAGTTGTACGCACATATATGAGCGCACGTACATACATGAGTGCATACATGCAAGAATACGTTTACTATGCCCAAGCCCTGTGATTGTGTTGGCAAGTCTGTGCCTGCAGCACTTACAGCTGCTACCTACTTTGTTGTGTGATGGTAGGGATGTGCTTGGCTGCTGCCAGCTGGCAGTCTAAGAATGGATTGCTTGTAACCCTCCCTCCCTCTCAACCTGTGGCAGGTTTGTGCCTGCACCACTTAAAGTTGCTGCAGGCTGTGGCACAGCTGTGGTGTTTGATTGTAGAGATGCGCTTGGCTGCTGCCAGCTGGCAGTCTAAGAATTGCTTGCTGCGCTATTCTCGCTCCAAACTGCGAATTTTGATAAAGATGTGCTGCGTGGTGGCAGTGCTGTGCTGGAGTGGGCCGTTTCGTTCCAGACCCCGTTCCATACCGTTCCATACCCGTTCCAGACCTGGACCACCCATGTACCACCCCTGACCCACTGGTGAACACATGGCAGGTTCTCACATAGACTCAGACTGCTCGTAAGCCATCCTTTGCGCGTGGGTTATGGGATGGTAGAGTCTTGCTATGCAGGGACACAATCTACCCCATAGGGACCTCTGAGTTTTAAGAGTAGGAGGTGGGACCTGTGTGACAGGTCTGAAGCTGAGTCGACAGCTTCACATGGTAGCCAGTGGGTGACACTGGCTACCGGTCGTGTCGTATCTAGTGCACGAGCACTAGCCATGCAAGGCAAACCTGCGTTGAACAGGTGTACTTCAAGGATGTCGTGCAGATGAGGAGTAGAGTAGCTTCAACGTGCATATCCTTGAGATGTATATTATATATGTTACATATAATGTGTATATATATATATATATTTATTTATGTATAGCCTATATTTCATCACACTCCAAAGGTCCGGAACAAGACCAGTTACGAAGCCCCTTCGTTCCATACGTCCGGAACACCGCGGAACGTTCCATACACATTTTTGACTCGGGACCATATATATATATATTAATATACCGTGAGCTGATTTCAATCCAAATTCCAAATATTATTTGTGCTCTTGAGAACCTCTCCCCCAGGGTTTTGTAGTAGGTGACAAGCCGCAGGATGGATGACATGTTTCCAGCAAGCCGTAAACACGTTTAAACCATATGCAACGGATGGTTGGGCAACAATCGCCACATATGTAGCGCATGCATACACATATCATATGTTCATACAATGTAATTCACAACTATTTTAGGCATATATTTGTATACATAACTATATACATAAATCTATTGCATGTAAATGTACACATATGTACAGACACCCCGATACTATCTGCTTCTTATCTCCAAAAACATTGTGTTGCGCCCGGCATAGCCCGGCCACTAACGGCAATCCATAACGGACGGCCCCGGGGCCCCGCGCCGCAGAATGGGTCCCACTTTGCCGTGCTGGACTTGCTCCACCTACTTCAACAGTCGGCGGCTGCGCCAGCTGCAGCGCCTCCACCCGGGGATCCACCGACGGAGATGACGAAGAGCGGGAATTTGGAGACGCTTCTGAGTGAACCTGTGATGAAAGTGGATATTTGATGAGATTTGATATTTGATGATTAATGTTACTAATTATTATACTGTTGATTCTTGGTGTTAGATATTGACTTAATGTTTGATGATATGTGATGTTTTGTCATCATTTTTATTATTTGATGTTGGATTGCAGGGTGCTTTTGGTGCCTTTTCGCGTTCCTGTTCCCGCAAGCCAACAGCTATCTCATGCCGCCTATTTGCTATTGTTTGATATTGTTTGAACCATATCTGACATTTGATAAGATGGAAGTGATGGTACATGATGGTAGCAACTGCAAGATTAAGGTCAATACTAGTAGGGATGTCAGAGATGTTGATTGATTGTGTTTTCACCGGTTGATGTTTCCAAACATCCATTTTCCATGTCCCATCCAACAGTGCCGTTGTGTCACTGAACAGTGACAATCTTCGGTCCTGGTATGGCAGCCACAACGAAGAGTTGTTGAGTTATTCTCCTGCCATGCCGTGCCCCATGCCGTGTGCAAAAAGATGCCCCAAGGGGATGCCCAATGCTGGGAGATCCTTGTTGTATATATCGGCCAATTGATAGGATGACAGGCTGGATGTGTTTGAAATCATGGCCAGGCCTTTGCCGGGATGTTTGTGTATCTATACAGTTGAAGGACGATTGTGAGCGTGCTGCGTGCGCTGTGATTTTTGACATACTTACTATATAGCAATCAAGACAGTCCCGTGATTTTTGATGGATCAGACCATGGCGCCCATGGCTGTATTTCTAAGTGTTTTCACCAGCAATGCACTGGATCTGATCGATCCTCTAGGGTGAACTGCTGCTGCATGGAAGCCCCAGATGTCAGCAACCGTGGTTTTGAGTAGTCTAAGATAGGAACCCTGATTTTGCTGGGGATGGTATAAATTTGGCTTTGGAATAGGGAGGACCCCTGTCTATGAGAATGGAACACATTGGAAAATGATAATCAATCAGGGGATTTAGGTTTTCCCAACATCTTGAAACAAATGAAATTGTTCCTTTTTTTAAAGAACTTCTGCTCATCATGTTGAACACATGGCTATTGGATGCCTCCACAGTTTGTTCAGCCAACAGCTGTTCATGTCAACTTGCCAAAGTCCTTGGATCATAGATCCATCTTTGGGTCTGCACGGCGAGAGAAAAGCTGCCGGTGGCTGCTGAAATCCAGACTGAATTCAACCAAAAGCCCAGATTATAGGAGGAACCACCAACCAGTAACTGCGTGGAGTTCTTTCCTTTGTGAAGGCATTTTTCCCAATTTGTTGGAGGTTTACATGTTGCATTCCATGGATTAGCTTTGCAAATGGATTAAATCCAAACACTTCAATGTTGCAGCTTGACATTGTACGCCCTAAGCTCCTAAACCTTGGCGATCAAAAGCGACTGAACTTCCAACCCCTCTGTTCATTTGGGTGCCCCGTGGCTGCCATACTCAACCGCATGAGGTGCCATTCTGCTTCTTGGATACACAGTATCGCGCTCATCCAATGCTCATGGCTACTGGGCGGCATGTGAGGTACAGATGTCAACAGATTTTAAGGATCACCCGGAATCAGGAACATGATCTGTCTGAAAGGTGAATGTACTTTCGAAATGTTCAATCTTTGGCTTCAAACTCAGACTTCGGGGCTTTGAAAGCTACAATCACGGAAGTGCTAGGATCAAGAGATGGTATATATGGATTATATATGGAGTATTTGGATGTACAGTATATGGTTTATGGTTATCCATCCCATAGGAATTCTACCATAGTAAGTATATAAAATCCCTATGAATGGACCGTCCGCCAAGCACTGGGTGATGGGATCTGAGGAATTCAGTGCGACTTGCATCTATGATGGACGCCTGAAGAAACTCACCTTGGTTCGGGATGGATTTCTCTGGATTCCCTGAAGAGGAAACTATATGTTTATTCCATTCTTTTTCAATTGCATCGAAATGGGAGGAGTCAAAATTTACTGTATTCAAATTTGAGAAATTGGAAAACCCAAAGATACCCAAAGATTGGAGGGTCACACATGAAAGAAAGGACCAAGATCACACGCGCGCCGGTGGAGCATCCGACAATCACTGCCTTGGACGAAAGATGACTTGGTGAAGCGAAGAGAAAACACATTTAGAAATTACATCATACATGTCCATATTTTGCGAACATATGTTGAATAAGCCTTCTTTCACCTATTCCAGAACATATTTCAAATACCATGCTGGAATATCCAGATATATCAGACATATGTCTAGTTTGAATATCTAGATTTATAGGTATATATATATATATCCCATATATCCATTATATATATATATATATGTATATATATATCCCTTAATATCTATGTATATATATATATATATACTGGTTGGTGATTTGGAACATTTTTCATTTTTCCAGAATTTTGGATAATCCTTCCCATTGACTTTCATATTTTTTCAAGATGGGTAGGTATACCGCCAACCAGATATATAGATCCCATATATCCCACATTTCATACAATGTGAGGCCCCCAAGATAGCGCTCAGTTGGTGCACATAAATCCAATTTCACTATGGTTTATGGTACTTATAACGAACTAGTTACTGGGGCGAAACTGTTACCCAACGTTCACTTATAACTGGGGGGCCTCACTATATATCTGATATATCTGGATATTGGAAATGTGGGATATATATCTATACCATCCAACCAGTATACCATCTGGTAATTCAACATAGCTATGGAAAATCACCATTTTTCATGGGAAAATCCACTATAAATGGCCATTTTCAATAGCTATGTTAGTCATCACCAGAGGCTAAACCTCCATTTTCCTATGGTTTTCCTATGGTTTTCCCATGAAAACCTCCATTTTTCCTAGGGAAATCCCATAGATCCCATGGTTTTCCCATCCGTTTTCCCAGGAACGGCGTGGACGAGTCCAAACGGCCCAGGCCCAATGGCCTGCCCTGGCCTGGACTCGAGAGTGACTTTTGCAGCAAAAACATGGTGGAAATCCTGGGGAAATCATGGGGAAATTGCTGGGAAATGGCTGGAAAATGATGGTTTAATTGTGTGAATATATATATATATACCCATAGGATCCAGTCGTATCTTCTTAGGAAGTGGGACTGGGGTATAATTTATACTATAATTTGGAGGGTTTTTTGTACCTTCTCAGACAGTGTTTGGATCCATAGGGATGGGAAATTGCTGGGAGATTGCTGGGAAATTATGGACATGGACATTGATGGGACATTGATGGGACATTTGGGTTTGGGAAATTGGTTGGAGATGATGGACATTTATAGGATTTTTAAGGGAATGTCAGCATTAAAACCTTAGAATTGAGCATTTCATATGACATTTAAACATGGGAATTACGAAAAGCAATAATTGTGGATTTGATGCATTTTGCAATGTTGTGAACAGTGGGAAGTTCACATCCAAAATCATGGATTTTTTTCGGATTGAAACGGATTTAACCAAAACCATGTCTTGAAGAAGTGTGAGTCAAGCAACAAAACTCATGGATTGAGAGGGTAGCCATTCAATCATGGGGAGTCAACTGCCCATGAATACTTGGGATTTAACCATCGAAAGTGCAGACAGAAACACCTGATGTCAATATCCCTGTTGGAATCTGTTGATGTCTTCGATTATACTACAACTGCCTCATTATTGCTATGCCCCATGATGGGACCCGACCCTCATGAATCAACCGGTATGATTATGATGGGTCCCTCACAGCCACCTCTTTTTTGATGGTGTGTGAGGTAAAACGTTCCAGGAAAAAATGGTTCATGACACATTTATTAATTATTGTTTAGCACCCCCCCCAAGGATTGACAAATAAAATCCTACTGAAATTGTAAATACGTTACCACTTACTTTTTCTATTTTTTTTAAGGGTTGCGATAGTTTGGTTTCGATGATGGAAGTAAGTCCAATAGTTGTGTGATGCAGCCGACAACTACATAGCTCTAGCTGTTCATATCTTGATGTTTCAAGCATGGTTTGATCCATCTCCGTAGACCATCATAGACCTAAAAAATGCTTTGCCCATATGTATATACGCACTATCAGCTGATTTACTATATGATATATACTCTATAAACATATCATATATAAATACCAAACATTATGTGTTTATATATATATATCAATTACTTTACCAATTGCTTTCCCAATTCACCAATTCTTATATCAATTACTATACCAACAACTCTAGCACTACATGTAAAATATGATGAGATATGATTTATCCAATCACTCTACCATCATCGATTGTTATAATGATATAACATCATATAGTGATTACTATAATTCATTACTATACCATCATATAGTGATTATTACATCATTTTACCAATATGATATTTACCACCATCGTCATCCAATTTATCCCAGCCAATGTCCACCAGGTCCAGCCATGTTTCTTGAGAGCAACGTGGAGGAACACTTGGAAGGCGCGGCGGTCTGGGGGTCCGGGCCGGAGACCCGGCGATGCCCACCAAGGTCATCGTTGGCTGGAAAATTCTATGAAAAATGGTGATTTCATGGGTCTTAAATGGACAAATCCCTATTATCCATGGAGATGTGAATGGGAACATAATGAACATAATCTATAAGCGGTGGATTTTCCATTGTGATGTTTGCTTACCGCAGGATAAACACTTCCACCTTGGTGAAGGGTCTTGGAATGGGTGATTTGACGCTGCCGGGGATCGCAACTCTGACTCTGAAATCCCCCTGGTCGCCTTGTGGGAACCAGAACTGGAGTCCCATCCCAAGCAGATTTTCTATCATTTTGTGTCATCACACGCTCAACCAAAAATCTGCATACTGGTTGGTGGTTTCAAACATGACTGGATTATTTTCAATTTCATAAAAGATCATAAAAGTCACCTATAATTTGCACTGGTTGGTGGTGACTGGAACATGGTTTTTATGACTTTCCATGAACAGTTGGGAATGTCATAATCCCAACTGACGATTCGTCATATTTTTCAGAGGGGTAGGTCAACCACCAACCAGAATATCTTTCCTCAGGTGAATCGAAGGCCAACTACGCTGAAGCTGTCAGAGTCAAGGCCAGCGTGATGGTTGATGGGTGCCATTAGCCAGTAGGGTTGCAAGGCATAACCACCTGCAATGGTTATACATATATACATATAAGATATGATATGTATTAAATATGTATGAACATGTAATTGTACATTGTAGATAATTGACACCTAAAATAATTGTTATGTTTGTTTGACTCACCAAGCTGGTCATTGATTTTATACCAGTCGCTGGGGTTTAGTCTGGAAGGGAACTTCAAGTTTCAAGCACCATATACAACCTACGGCTGGTATACAATCATGATCAATCATGAGAATTTCCGGACATTTGCCTGGAAAGATACAACTAGCAATTATGATTCCTTCCCAATTCTGAATTTTCTGCGCAGGTCCATTGTTTTGAGCTTCAATGCAACAAACCCTGAACCCTAGAATCAGAACACCAAAACTCTGAAACCTAAAACCCTAAATCCTAAAACTTTAACCTTGTATATATATATATATATACAGTATATAGTATATATTAAACATATACTGCGTCTATAGCCAGTGTTTCGGCAACTGCACCCTCAAGATCCTCAAGCCACTGGGATGCTGGGGGTGATCCCATGGAACTGATGGAGATGCGGGATGCCGAGTTACGAAATTACGGCGCAGACGAAAAGATAACATTCAGCTGGATTGATAGATATGACTATATATATACAGTATATATATACAGTATATATATATATATACAGTATATATATATATATATGTATATATATATAGATATAATATATAATATAATACAGTATACATAATTATATACATTATATAATATACATATATACATATAATATAGATAGATTCTTCCTTGGTGATAGATGCTTCTCCTATAGTGCCCTCAAACGACTTGTTTCGGGACGACTTTCACACTGAGTTGATATAGCGTTTCTGGTTGGATCTGATTTATCCAGGATCATCCCATGATACATGCCATGATATCCCCATTTGTAGATGTGATTACCATGATATCCTATTTATAATATATCTATATATATATTTCTTCCCATGAAATTTCCTACTGACGTTGAGCCACTTCCGGCATTTTCCACGGCTTTCAGGAGCTGGTCCGCGGCTTGTTGGATCGGGGCGCAGTGAGACTTGAAGACATTGGTGTGGCTTGGCGTTGGCGTTTCGACGTGTTTCTTTTTCTTACCAAAAATCAAAAAGGGGCAGTGCCTTCCAGTTAAATTCATCGGAAAACATATACCGTCTGGTTATTTGGCGTGGCCATGGAAAATCACCATTTTTAAGAACGGTAAACCATCTGTTTCTATGGGCCATCTATACCATGGCAAACTGTTAAATAACCAGAGGGTACAAGTAATGAATCTTCAGATCCACATCTTGGAGTTTAAGTCTGTTGTCTTCCAACGAACAACAAAAAAAACGAAGGCATGGACTATCATGGAAAACCCATCGTTTGGGTTTGCCCGAAAATGGGGGATATTCAGACAATTGCCATTGTGGAAGCAAATCAAAATGAACAAGACTATACCGTATATTTTTTGTTTGAACTACAAATGATGCGTTTTCCAAATCTATCTTGGGGTATCATATTCATAGAATAATCATATCATGATCCCATATGAATATCAACTAATGTAGTTTTGGGACTCTGTGCTGAACTGTTTAGACTCACCAGGCCCCACACGACTTTTCCAAATTTGGCTCCGCCGCATGGAGGTGGTGACGCCGTACAAGGGACAAGTGCGGGTTCTGCGGAAGATGATGCATTTGCAGAACGGTCTCAACGTGGAGCAGGTGGGGCCCGACTGTCTGTTCCCGAATGCAGATCTGGGTGAAGAATCTGATGGTGAAAAGCCATGGAAAAGCTCCCAAATCCATGGGTCTATCATCATTTTCCAGATTAATAGACATGAAATGACCATGAGTAGAGGGTATACCCCATTTTCAGACACTGAAATTTAAGGGTGTTCTCCGAAATGTCTGCGTTGGAGATTTGGTGGATGATCCAAGTGGTGGCACTTCATGGCACTTTTTCACGGGGTTGCTCCAACCTATTAGTAGGCAAATGATATCCACAAGGAGGGGAAATCGGTAATTGTGGCTCTTTATTTACTCAGTTTCCCCACCTTGTATTTGGGGTGAGGCAAAACCCTGATTTGAACGGGGAAGATGAGCTTTTGAAAACCATAGGATCTTCTTCTTTTTGGACGAAGAGTTGTTTGCTGGGTGATACTGGTTCTTCATAATTATCAAGTAGTACATTCACAGTGGTACTATGTGGTACTCATTGGTACCCTCTGGTAACGTTTACATAACTATGGAACATCACCATTTTTAATGGGAAAATCCACTATAAATGACCATTTTCAATAGTTTTTTGTATGTTTACCAGAGGGCAATAGTCAACGCATAGTGTTGTGGACGAATCCACGGAGCCCCGGTGAACCAATGCCCACAGATCCATGAAGCTGCATGAGATTTGGTGCGTTAAATCCGTTAAATCATGTTCTGGTGGGTGGTTTCAAACATTTTTTATTTTCCATAATATATGGGATAATCCTTCCCATTGACTTTCATATTTTTCAGAGGGGTAGGTCAACCACCAACCAGTGTTGAATCAGGTAAAAAAATCCCCATGGTTTTTGCTGATCAAATCCCAATTTTTTTCTGTGCAAGACCTTAAGTTCTTGTTGTTCATCAGTCACTTGGTCACAGGAGCAGGCCAAATTGTTGGAAATCGCCTCCGTAGACAACTTTCAGGGCCGAGACGCTTGGTGAAAAAATGGTGTTTCTGGGGAGAAATAGCTGGATGGTGAACGTGTTTTTTAAATTTATCAAATATCATTAAATAGGATGTCAAGGATTTTTTTTTTAGTTTATCAGAGATTGGATGTTTGAAAGTGTAACTGAAGCTTTCGCACATCCAACAACCGTTTGCACAAATTGCGGTCGAAGTGGACCGAAATTGATACTGGGTGTGACTAGTGCGTGACAACTCTCTTTCATGTAGTGGACCTGATTTGGAAACCAAGAAGCTTTCTTTGGAGCTCGCGTACCTGAAATTGAAAATGGAAAGTGTCTATATTGAATTTAAATGCTATATAGGGATTGACGAAATTGCACATGCTTCAGAGACGTGCTGGTTCTCAAGAAGAAATGTCCCTATCCGCGACCACATCGTCTAATCTTGAGCTATAATTGTTCTGTTAGGGTTGAGAGTATGAACCAAGTGGAATGCGATCTGATTCGGATATTTGATCAGCCAGCATGTGCTGAACATACCCTCTGGTAAACTAACACAACTATGGAACATCACCATTTTTAATGGGTAAATCCACTATAAATCACCATGTTCAATAGCTATGTTAGTTTACCACAGGGTATCTCCATTTTCATCTGCTTTCCAGATGTGAAACAGCCCATGCTCCAAGCCTTGCATTTGGGTCGGACTGCTGACAGCAGCTTTGAGCAATGCCCGAACACGCCCGTTTTGGGAAAGCCATCAGCCATTACTGGCCATTGAAACAACTATGAAACAACCAAAGATCATTGACAAATCAATGCAAATCGCTAGGCTTGGAGAATTCTTGCTGTGGTTTTGTTCGGAATAGTGTCCCTAAATGTGTTTCGATTGCCGGAGGGTATATTACTAGGTGTGCTCCACCATTTATGTGCTGGCTAATTTAGACTATCCAACCAGAACCACCCATGAAATGGTTCTGAAGTTACAGCAAGTTGCAGCCACATACCCTTGGTGCAGGCATTGAATAGTCCTTGCTTCTTCAATTGCAATCCCAATGTATTCCGAAAAGAAACTGCTGATTAAAGTAAATTAAGGCAGCGCAATGTCTCCCCATTTTGATCCATATTGTAACCACGTATATTGACTACATCCTATTTCGGGGTAGCCCAAAATTGAATTTTTGCCATGGAGAGGGTGGAAGGCCAACAAGAAGCGGTGAGAAAGGTCTTCAAGTGTGTGGCTGGCGTGCTCAACAATGCTTTTGGGCCAGAGGAGGCTAGCAGATGTGAGGCGGAGGTAAAACTGTTGCTTGATGCAGAACTGGAAGCAGGTACTTCATTTGCGAGCTGGACTTCTGTGTGTCACGCCTTGGCAAAGGCCATTGATCATGGTTTGGTGCCTGAGAAAGGTGTAGAGACCCTGAAAAACCTCGGGCCAGAGAAGAATGCCTTGACTTCGGAAACATCTTTGGTGACGTCTCTGGGCCTGGGTGCCATGAATGTGAACGTCGTGAACATGGCTGGTGAGAGCAACACCTTCAAGCTCCAACCCCAGGAGAGCAAAGCTGTTTCTATTTGATGAGGGAAGCAGCTGGAATTCGAAGATGTTCAATCTTGTTTAATGCTCCAATCATCTTCAATCCACCCAAAGAAAGCCATGCAATCTACAGCTATAGGCCGGAATCATCTTGAGCAGCCACGGCCACGGAAAAGTCAGGAGCGGATCCTCGACTTGAAGCTGCGCCTGAAGGTTCCCTTCGGTGCCCGGCCTCGGCTGACCTTAGGGGATCAGAGCCTCGACGATAGCCGGACGCTCTCGGCGGCCGGGCTGTCGGAGGGCTGCACAGTGCTGCTGGCAGTGGAGAAAGTGCAATGGGAAGAGGAGCAGAAGAGCGCCCTGAAGGATTTGCTGAACTTCTTGGAGGAGAACTGCCAAGTCCCATGATGCTCCATGTATAATAGTATATATATGTTCTACATGTGGGTCATTTATGAGGTAGATGTTGGTAAATATTCCTTACATGGAGGATATGGGAACGGTTTTGTTTAAACGCAACACATACAACACGTTCCTTCAAGACAGTTGATACTGGGCCATAAAATCAACAGCTAACTGTTCCACTGCTGATTGGGTATTACTGGGAGGTACTAGTTTAATGAGGATAGTCACAACCCATAATTGGAATAGGCATGGCTGAGATCTAATTCACGCTGTGCAGCCCACCCTCTACACCTTAAAAGTTTAACGAGATGGCACTGAACTCAACCTGCATCAACTTGCCTCGCAGGATGGCGAAGAAGTTCAAGCCGTTGTCTTCGGCGATTGGGGCTGGGGAAACTATGAAGATGTTGGCTCGGTTCCAAAAGAGAGGCGTGGCAAGGTGCTATCTCCTCATGAAGTTCAATGCTACATGGAGGCCTGGTCCTTTTTTGGGGGGCACGGATCTCCAGAGTGCTACGCGGCTTACATCTATACCGACCGACGCCTGATTTTCCCCTCACAGTATGACGGATCCACCAACTTGGAGGGGATGCCACTCCGTCCCACTGAGTGTATGCCAACGATGCCCGGGCAGTAGATGCCACTATCGATTTGGTTGCAAAAAGTGCGCGGAGTCGGTTGCAAGGCTAAGCGGCTAATCCCATGTTACCAATATTAAAGACCTCCAAGAATGGACCCAAATATGTGTAAATCCCCTATTTGACCATGGTTTCTCGGAGATGTTTATATAATACTATGGACATGGGATTCTCGAATGTAAGGGCAGGTGCAGTCGGTCAGTCTTCCCAGGAAAAAGAGGTGATCATCTTCTCAGCCGTGCGTTGCAATACCTTTGGCTCCGTGGGTTTCTTGAAGGATTGGCGACGGCTCAATGTCATGGTCACTCGTGCCCGAAGGGCCTTGGTGGTCATAGGCGGGGCCCACCTGGCCCGGTGGGATTGCACATTAAATTAGTTTATGGATGTGGAGGGTGAAGGCAAATCATGCCCATTTCGCTGATGTGAAACCTAACACCTCTAAAACTTGGACAAGTGCAGCGTGTGAGCTGCCGTGCTTTGATTGGATCACAGGAAATGCTATGACCCTTTGCAAAGATGACTATTGGAAGAAATGGCTGGAGACCACTGAAAAGCAGGGCGGCTGTCGGAAAGGCACTGCATTTTGGCTGCACATTATATAGTTGGGAACCGTGGATGTAGGGGAGGGGCTCAAAACAGTTGGACGATAGTTGTAAGCAGAAACCTTGGAGCCAGGCTGATGGAAAATGTACAAGCAACCAATCATCAGTCCAAATTCGGATGACTTCCCCAGTTGTCACTCATTTGACTCATTTGTCACTTTTCCTTGAATACAACCTCGTTTCAGCCTTCGTATTACCAACGAATTGGATGAGAATCCCTTGGGACCCTGGGACGTGTCTCCAAGGTGAAAAAAGCTTTGGAAGATGGAGAGAACTTCCAAGGAAAACGCGCCGGATGTGGCGGGAACTGGTTTTCTAGGGTGCACTTTGCGGGGAAACCCCAATATTTGATGGGAAACACATGGAAATCCGGTGATTTTACAGCGGTAATGGGAAATCTATACGTATGCTCTCCGGAAATTTAACCCTGTATTGGAAAAACCACCATGTTTAATGGGAACATCTTTGAATGGACATGATCACGACATTTTCTATCGCTAGGTTAGACTAACTAGGGTACCTGACGGTACCTAGATTTTCCTCCCAAAATGCCAATATAAATGAAAATCGCAAAACAATCCTGGTTTCAAAGGTCGTTCTATCACAACTTGATTGAATTGATCTGCAAATAGGCTGTCAGAACTTGATGGGTCTCCAGTACCACGGTTACATCAAACAGATTCCTCATCGCTGTACAAAGTGTTGTGCCTACATCTTAATTACTCATGATGCAAGAGCATTTATTTTTCATAGATTATCTTGTACGGATTCTTGAAGAGAACTGGCACATGATTTATATACCTTATGATCAGATATGATTATTGGATCAAACCCATGATCAGACACTACCGACCTCACTCAGTAAGGCCTTGCAGTGAGGTGATTCCAATTGTTTGACTGCTGAATATCAACATATCTTAATGTTGCCGAAAGATCCAGAATCCAACATCACCTCAACTTTGGATTTGCTGAAGATTATATGTTTGATTGTCTTTTTTGTCCCTATCCTGTTGTTTGTTACTTTGCTAGCCTGCAGCAGATCCCAGATCCAAAGTCTTTGCCAGGTATCGTACCATCTGAAGAGAACATGGACTTCTTCCCTTCGCTGCAACTGACGGATTTCCCCGTGGCGCCGCCACAGTCCAGCGCTCCGAAGCGGAATTGGAGCGACATGAACAGCGACGACGAGGATCAAAGTGCCATGACGACATCGCCAGTGAAAGTGGAGAAGAAGCTCAAGGCCGCCACCGGTTGGCGGTTTTTTTTGGGGGGGGCTTCGGTTCAAATGGATCAGTGATGATCAGTGGGTCATGAAAATGTGTGATTTTGAGTAAACCCAATAGATGAAAAAGCATTATAGAATGACAAAAATCTCAACGATCAGCAGAATAGTAATGATACGATGTGGTAAAGCATGATAAAGCTAATATACACCATACCATACCCTATTTCCATCTATTTCCCCAATGAAGGTATCTGCATATCATGTTTCATCCAACATGTTCAGATTAGTGAAGTATATTCAAGCAACATGATTTGGCTTTTATACGTCTTTGCTCATGTTTCCATCCCCAAGGGCCTGGGATGACCAGGTGACTGAAGATGAAGCGATGCCATGGGCGCAAGCGGCTTGGATCCGAACTCCATGCGTTTTCTTTGGGACAAAAGATGGCTCGTCCCAGCCACTGAATACAAACTCGCATATGGCATCCCAATCTGGTTGGTGGTTTGGAACATTTGGATTATTTTTCCATAATATCTGGGATAATCCTTCCCATTGACTTTCATATTTTTCAGAGGGGTAGGTCAACCACCAACCAGCAATGTTTAACAAATATGATTGCTTTGTGATTGCTATTCATGCTGCGATGTGTAAGATGTTTTTGTTCATCTCTTTTCAAGGTTGAACATCTAAGAATTTTGGATGTTTAACCTCTATAGTAGGGTACATGTTCTCTCCAAATTAAGGGTCACATTGCAAGTATATGTATCTGGATAAATTATAACGACCTCACTGCGACCTCACTGGAATCATGGTTAGTAAGGGAAATCATCCCCAAATGGCCTTAATTCAGGTTAGTGAAATATTATAATTACCCATGCAGAATGTATTTTTGCCGCAAATAGATATGTAAGTAGATGGAAGGTCGATCCAGAAGATCTCACTGCCAGACAGTTGCTGGCTGGTTTCAGCAGGGATCGGTGGGAACATCTGCAGGAAAGCATGGTTTGGAACATGACTTTTATGACTTTCCATTCAGTTGGGAATGGAATGTCATCATCCCAACTGACTCATAAACAAATCAAGATGGTTAAAACATGTTAAAACCACCCACCAGATCTACAGCTTTCCTGTTTCCCTTGAACCAATTCGTTGCTGCTTGGCTTCGTCAAACCGTGATGCTCTCAGGACTGGACTGGATGGGGTTCCAAGCAGACCGAGGACAGCAAGAGGCGATTGCCATGTTGATGGGAAAATGCGTCACATGTAGGCTATCTAAAACGGGTCATGTTGCTGACTCCAACAGAATCGACCTGGAGTTATATATATATATATGTAATATATCAAATTATATAATGTATATATATATATGTTTGTGTTATGATGTCTTATGCATAGCCTTTGTTAGTGGATCCCACGTGATCGCCCAGGTCATGGACTTCGTCGAAGTGGTCCAAGGAAAAATCCTGGAACACCTGGTCCACGTGGGACACGAAGTCCTGGAACTCCCAGAATTCCTGGCAAAGAGACTCATGGAATTCTGCGGGACAAAAAACTGCAGCCCCTGCAGCACGCTTTGGGATGACCCGTGGCCGTCAACAGGATGTTTATCTTGCAGCACTAACGTTTGAACAGTTGTGATCCAAATTGTTCGAAGGCATCCACCCAGGTGGATGGGAAATAGTATGGAAATAGTATGGCCAGCCAATCTGTGAGGGTTTGTCTCAGGGTATTTCCAGGTCAACACTG